AAATCACCTTACAAATATAGATTTATTTCGTCTTCAAGTCATTGTTTCACTACTAAATTGTCTATTCTACTTACTAGTACACTTGGTACAATAAAAAACCTGATAATAAATTGTTCAAATAAGGCCTTTGAAAATAGTGGAATTAACTACTTTTGGAGTGTCAAAAACTCGTTGGAAGTACTTGATAAATTGCATGCATATATTGGTGATTTTGAATCTGTTCAAAGTTTTGATTTTTCTACCCTATATACCACTTTGCCTCATATTTTTATTAAGAAAAAATTCACACACCTAATTAAATGGGCATTTAAAAAGTCGGAATGCGAATACATATGTTCAAACTCTTTTAGGTCATTTTTTAGTAGCAACAAACAAAAGAACTATGTCAATTGGACATGCTTTGATACTATATCTGCTCTTGAATTTTTACTTGATAACATTTTTGTTCGCTTTGGAGATTCCGTATATCGTCAAGTTATCGGAATTCCAATGGGGACTAACTGTGCACCACTTATTGCGGACCTGTTTTTGTATTGTTATGAGTTACAATTTATGACTAAAATCAGCAAAGACCCATCGAACAACATCTGATACAAAAATTTAACAATACTTTTAGATATTTGAATGATATATTGGCTCTCAATAATGACGACTTCAGTATGTATACTAAAGAAATTTATCCTGTTGAACTTACTTTAAATAAAGCTAATGCTAACAATGACCACTGTCCTTTCCTCGATCTTGATATCTATATCATTACCGGGAAGCTTAATACAAAAATTTATGATAAAAGAGATGATTTTTCATTTCCTATCGTTAATTATCCATTTTTAGATGGTGACGTTCCCTTGTCACCATCTTATGGTGTTTATATATCTCAACTTGTACGATTCGCTGTGTATGTAACAAAGTATTAGATTGTAGCGAGAGAAATTTATGTATTACTGAAAAATTATTACACCACGGTTTTCGATATCATAAACTAGTCAAAACATTTACTAAATTTTATCATCGGTATAAGGACATCATTCGTAAATATAACTCAACATGTAGACATCTTATACGTTCGGGTATTTCACATCCAATCTTTTATGGTAATATTCTTTACAAAGCACAAAAATGTCAGTATTCACCTCAAAAGCTAACAAAACCTTTAAACAGACTTATTAAGAAGGGATATAGTTACGATACTGTTGTCAGGTCATTAAAGATTGCATATTTTGGCTTTAATATTGATTCACTTATAGGGTCTTTGCATCGGAATTAAACATATTTATTCTAAAAACAAGTTGTTGGCATGACACGGGTTATGTTCTTCTCATATATTTTATGATGGTATAATACTAAACCCCTAACAGGAGGGATTGTGCCTGATATTCAAATGATGAAGACATAATCTTTCAATCAGTTTAATTGAGGTCTGGAGCTGGCATGTCAGTAACTGCTAGTAGTCTGTTGTTATCTATGTATTATTGTCATTTTGTTTATTTTCTTTTGTTTCCTATTCTGACATCGGACTCGGACTTCTCTTATACTGAGTTTTACTGTACGTACTGTTGTGCGTTTGTTTTTTCTACATTGGCTAGAGGTATAGGGGGAGGGTTGAGATCTCAAAAAAACATGTTTAACCCCGCCGCATTTTTGCGCCTGTCCCAAGTCAGGAGCCTCTGGCCTTTGTTAGTCTTGTATCTTTTTCAATTTTAGTTTCTTGTGTATAATTTTGAGTTTAGTATGACGTCCATTATCACTGAACTAGTATACATATTTGTTTAGGGGCCAGCTGAAGGACGCCTCCGGGTGCGGGAGTTTCTCGCTGCATTGAAGACCAATTGGTGGCCTTCGGCTGTTGTCTGCTCTATGGTCGGGTTGTTGTCTCTTTGACACATTCCCCATTTCCATTCTCAATTTTATCTTCATTTCTCAGTCAGAACTTGTTTTGTTTCGAGACCACATCCTTGTTATTAAATAGTGTGAACATGCAGGACTGTAACGTATTAAATAAGATATGTACTAGTATACACCATACGATGGAACAGAGGGCATGTTACTACTTAGAAATGGGAAGTTGACAATTGAAAAATTAAAATCATCACATTGGTCAGATATTCTAGTGTGAAGTCGTCCAGCTGTGTCAATATCGAGGAAAATGTCAAGAAAAGCCAACTAGTTTCGGTACTTACCATAATCTGAATTTTACTGAGATATATGAGATGCAAGCACTCGCTGGAATGTGGGCTTTTTGGTGACATGACTTCAAAAAGGCACTGGTAATTCAAATAAAAGATCTATGCCTTTTTGTCTTTGAAAAGGCTCTGTATGAGTACAAAAACAAATGCAAATCGGCCAGTAGGGGTGCACAATTAGTATCAATTGGATTATCAACTGTCTGAAGAAATATCAATACTCATTACTCAACAAATATGCTGTATATCAAAAAGTCTAGCTATTCATCATATCATCTTCGGTGTATTTGTTATTGGAATCAATGTGGTTCTTCACAAAGTAAGATTTTTCATGAATTCACTAAAGGAATTTATTTCTTTGATTCCAATTTTTGTAGAAAAAAAATACTGACACAGAGATATGTCTCGGCTTTACTTAATTTTGATTGTATAAAGCAAATGTTTAAATCTAAATTATAATACTGTAACATGTAAACTACGCATAACATTCAGTCAATACAACATGAGACTACTATATGTTATAGTATTCTCAGATACAACTGCCTATCAAATACCTTTGACGGTTTGACCTATCATAAGTGTTTCCCTTTAAACTTTAGACCTCACAAACTTAAGATGTAAACCATGCAAAAATTTTAAAATCAACAAGCATTCTGAGAGTATTGCATGGCAATAAATAGTCCCCTACCAGTCAAAAATTCATTACTTTTTTTACTGGAACAAAATGCTATCTTAATCTATAACTTGTCATGGTGTAAACTATATACCAATTATCAAGTCAATATCTTGAAGCATGACGAAAAAAAGTGCGAAAAACTGATTATTTAAGTTAATTTTCAAAGTCCAAGGACCATAACTCTGCACAAAATTATCAGACGGAACAAAATTCAAATTTGATCTGTAACTTGTCATGATTAAACAATACACCAAATATCAAATCAAGCATGAAGAAAAAAAGTGTGACACAACATTAGTGGTTCCCCTTAAGCTGAGCTATCACAAATTATGCAAAAGTTTTAAATTCAAAAGATCGTGAAAGTAGAGGTAGGACCAAAAACAAATCAATGGAAATGAGAGGTACCAATCCTTATACAACTGCTCACCAAATATCACTGACCTACCACTAGTGAGTCCCCTTAACCTGACTTAATCACAAACTTGAATATGTAGGCTAAGCAAAAGTTTCAAATTCAATAAACAATTACTGAAGGGGCAGGGCCAAATATTCTCCATTGCAATTAGATTGGCCAATTCTCATCAAAAGTGATTGAACTACTACTCGTGATTATCCTTAAACTGACCTAATCACAAACATATTAACTAAGTCATAAGACCAAGATCAGGAGGCAGGTCTAAATATTTTCCATAGAAATGTAATGTGCCAATGCTTATACAACTGCACACCAAATATCAATGACCTACCACTTGTAGTTCCCCTTTAACTAAACAAATCACAAATAATTCTCCATTGCTGGTGTTAACGTTGTATGATATTTTTATACGGTTTTCAATTTTTAACAACCCCCTCCCTGTTGTTATAGTCTACCTTTTTCATTGGCCAGAGGTTTTTTCAAACAGACTGTTATAGTAATAAAACGTCTAAACTAAACCATAAAATATTTTATTGTGGTTCATCACAAAGTCTTCTCATATATAAATATAAGTAAAAAATACATCTTTATTTACAAAGAAGAGCAATTATATAAACAAACTTCAATGATAAAAAACTGTATCTCAAATTTATCACCTTGTATAAAATGAATTCACCGACTCTAAAACAAATATAGATATAAATAATGTAGCCAATTTAAAATCTTACATTGATAGCTATTAGGGCAACATCAAATTATTTACTAGTTCTTCTTTACTAGTTCTTCTTATAACAGCTGTTATATAAATACTGTAAATTTCCGAAATTATTGTAATGTTTTTTATAATAGAGAATATTGGAATTGGGTGTATAAAGCAATAATAAGAGCTTGCATTCTGATATCTGATACATATATCTTTACATATGCAGATTTTCCTGAAATCGCAATAAATAATCTTGCATTTTTGTCCATTCACCAAAAATCGCAATAATTTATGAATTTACAGTAATCAAATGTAGCATTAAAAAAAGGGGGGGGGGGGGGCAAAATAAAACTTAAATCAGCTACTGATAAATACTTCGGCAAATGTTCTTCTGTAAAATGTTTAGAAAGCAGTTGTAACAATCCTTTGATAAACATGCTTGTACTATTTAAAATAAGAATTTTTATATTTTTAATCTAAAGAAAACAAAGATCTGTCTTATGGGAATGTGGTTTAATATTAAAAAAAAAAGATATCTCCATCAATGACTGTATAAAATCTTAACATGACATTTATTTAAAAGTTTCCAAAGCACCAAGCACTACAATATAACTTTACATTATAAATTGTTTTCACTCATACTGTCAAACATCCTCTTTTTGAAAGCACAGAGTATCAATAAAAATAAATTATCAGTAGTACAAATATAATTTAAGTACAATTTGAATAAAATTCTACATACAGTTTGGCAAATAAAAATTAAAAGCATCTAGCTTGTACCAGGCAATAGCAGACTATTTGACCCGCAACACAGAGGGAAAGATTAGGCATCATAGAAATTTAAAATGTACCTCGAAGTTAAATATCTGAACACCTCCTAGTCTTAATAAGTTCCACACAACAATGGCATAGACTTGAAAACCATTATAACTTATAATACAAAGACAAATATAGTATTGAATCACCTGTGTACAACAAGCTTGTATTTGTATGTGAGACAATAATGAAATTTTTTGAATGCTTATCCTAATTTCCATTGCCAGTTACTGAGGAACATAGGCATAGTCTTGGCTGTCAGGTGTTTCTGGTTCACTGCCCATCTGGGACCGTCGCTGTTGTTTCCTGAGGCACTTTGGACACTGTTTACCTTCTGTTTTACAAGTTTTATGGAAGACTGATTTACACTGTTTACACTGAAATATAAAAATAAATCTCACTATAACAAATGCTGACCTTCCAATGATTATTGCATACCGGGTACAAGATCAGAAATGAGGCAATTAAATATCACTTAATGTATGATCATGATTTCCTTGTGCACATGTTGTGGTGGCATTAAAAAAAGTATATTCGGCAGATAACTGTTTCTTATTTTAAACTTGGCCTATGTAAAAACATAGTTTATACTGTTGAAAATAAATTGAGTTTACCTAGCAACAATTAGCGGAGCTAAGTAAAGAAACATTTGCGAAAGTAAAATCAAGTTTTAAGTAGGCCAACCTTAAAATAAATTACAACTACTATTGCAAGTACCACAAAATTATTTGCATTAATGTTGTCCATACATTGTGATAAATTATTCAGTTTGTACTTGCATTTGCCCTATATTTGGGAGTGCCAACGCAATCTGAAATTTGCTCAAAATATATGTATTTTTCATAAAAACTATCAAAAGTGCCTATTACACGACTACATTTATTGTGACGTCATTGATTGCAAACTATGCATTTCTTATTTTGCAATACCTCAAATTAGAGACAGACAAAAATTGAAATCTTAAATAAAAGGTTAAAATTGCAGTAATTATTGTACAAGGCCCTTATTTGGCAAAACCTTTTAGAATTTTTGGCCCTCAATGATGTACAACTTTGTACTTTATTTGACCTTTTAACGATTTTTTATGCAGGCTTCATTGATGAATCTTTTGAAGATGAAACGTGTGTCTGACATACAAAACTATAAGCCTGGTATCTTTGATGAATTTTTTTTATCACCATTTCTTTTTGGTCAATATTTGTAGAATTTGTTTGTACTTGCCAAAACTAATAGCAATTCTAAAATGAAGACATATGCTAAAGTAAACCTTCAAATGTCCATTTCTAGTAAATTGTTTTGTCTCCTTGAGATTCACACAACATTTCTGTATATTCGAAAAAGTATAAATAACATACATTGAAATTAATATTCAATAATCAAATATATTGTTCAATAAATTTCAGATCTTACCCTGATGGTAGATTCTACTTCAAAAGGGTAGATAACTTTTGTCTGATTACACAGTTCGCATATATAACCTTTCTGGCTACAGAGACGACACTCGTACACATGCTTTATAGCAAACTTTATAACTTTCTTTAGACTGTTCAGCAGAGTTCCTGAAGGCACTTGAAGAAAATCCTGTAATAAATATTCATGGAAATAGATCTTGAATAAATAGGTAAAATGATGAATTTTTAATACTCTTCTGCTATAAAATGCATGACACGGGTTATGTTCTTCTCATATATTTTATGACGGTATAATACTAAACCCCTAACAGGAGGGATTGTGCCTGATATTCATATGATGAAGACATAATCTTTCAATCAGTTTAATTGAGGTCTGGAGCTGGCATGTCAGTAACTGCTAGTAGTCTGTTGTTATTTATGTATAATTGTCATTTTGTTTATTTTCTTTTGTTTCCTATTCTGACATCGGACTCGGACTTCTCTTAAACTGAGTTTTACTGTGCGTACTGTTGTACGTTTGTTTTTTCTACATTGGCTAGAGGTATAGGGGGAGGGTTGAGAACTCAAAAAACATGTTTAACCCCGTCGCATTTTTGCGCCTGTCCCAAGTCAGGAGCCTCTGGCCTTTGTTAGTCTTGTATCATTTTTAGTTTTAGTTTCTTGTGTATAATTTGGAGTTTAGTATGACGTCCATTATTACTGAACTAGTATACATATTTGTTTAGGGGCCAGCTGAAGGACGCCTCCGGGTGCGGGAGTTTCTCGCTGTATTGAAGACCAATTGGTGGCCTTCGGCTGTTGTCTGCTCTATGGTCGGGTTGTTGTCTCTTTGACACATTCCCCATTTCCATTCTCAATTTTAAGAAGTTGTACATTGAGTTAGTTCTGACTTATCAAACAACTACTAAGGTTTCAGATAGTATGGAATTAACAGAATAAGCTTGGCACCATATATCATGAAGCTTTGACTTGTAGTGTGGATTAAAATAAGACAAAAAATTAGTACATATGTGCATGATATTGTAAAGATTTTTTGACAAACAGGAAGTAGAAAACTGAAGGAAATGAAATCATTTTATAAATAAGCTACGACTAGCAGTTGCTGAGATAAGTATGATAGAAATCTGTTTCAGACAAACAGACAGACAGAGGTAATCTAATATCCCCCTTTTCCTTTGCAGCAGGGATGTTACAATACCATACAGGAAATTAACAGCACAGAATTTTTTTAGGTTTTTTAATATATGGCATAGAAGTCATCCATGAAAAACATTTCTTCAACTAAGATCCAAAAGGAAGTAACATTTGTTTGAAAGAGGCCAGATATGATGCATAAGGTATAATGATTCCTATCTCTGAAGCATCCTTAATTTGATTGGTTAATTGGTTATACCATATACTTTTCTACTTTGAAAAAGCCATTTTAAATTGTATGAAATTTTTCTTATCAGTTTTTATGTTAGTTAGTGCAGTATAATAATATTAGAATTAAAACATGCATGAATAATGCTATATTTTGTTCGTTTATATACTGTACTGTATGACTTTCAAATTGGTATTTGCTGTTTCTCCATTAAGAGCCTAGAAAGCATTTAGGGATTAGGGATTAGACAGGTTGACTCAAGAGACAGAATAATGGTACGGTCACTTGTCTTCCAAAGTTTGTTTCTTGGGGGTAGTACATGTCACTCGGTGTATCAGTTTAGTTCAAATGGAGGTATATCATCTTTAACTAACATATAATGTTGTTCCTGTATATTTGCTTCTAGGTGGTAAGAAGTCATCAATCAATCAATAACTCAGAGGTTGTTTTTGTGGGAGATTTTTAAACAATAAATCCCATATATATTAAATTTAAAGGGACATACACACACACACACACACAAACACAAATAAAGTATCAGAATATTAAGGTAAGTAAATATTTTAAATTACTTATAATATGTAAAATACCAGTATAATACATAAAAATATCCCAGATGGAAGAATGAAAGAACAGAGAAACAAAACAAGATTTATTTATCAGCAAAATACTCTGATATTAATGTCATTGAATTGTGTTGTCAATTTCCGTTGTATAAAGAACATGTGTGTCTTAAGGGAGACAAACATGTCTCTGACTTCATTGTATCCCCCAATCATAAACTAATTATCAATAAACTTTATCTGCAATTGGATTAATTAAGAATAAAATTTCTCCTTTCTTAATTTATGGATGTCAATTTTTAGACCCTATTCAGAAAATTAACATACAAGTCTTTTAACTTTTGTTCAGATAGTGAGCTTCATTTCAGGCTTACAACTAGTAAATTTAAGAAAAAACAAAGTTTTCTCCTGATATAATATGACTGCTTAAACAAAATGTTGAGAAGCTATCTTTAGCTTTTATTGTTTTGAGTTTTTACGGTTTTGTATTTTGATTAAATCTTTGACAATTTCATCATTTTGACGTTTTCAAAGATTGATTTTTGTTTGTTAAATGTCCGGTGATAAATTGTTTTTATGAAAAACCGTACTTACGCTGAGTGAATACAAATGAATATTCTCATACATATACTCTCTTGGCCATAGCGTCTGTCTGAATTCATCTGCTATAGATTGTTTACATGTAAACAAATATGTTTTTAAATAATATAACTGGGTTCTTAGAACCTACAAAATAAAACAAGTTATTCATAATGAAATAACTGAATATGGTAAAGAAATGAATTTGATAATCTACTAACTCAATATGAATATTGATACACATAGAGTTAAATTTACTCATAGCCTTGAAAGGCTTCGAGTCGGCAATTTACAGTTTGCCATAAAGTAAAGACACCTGTCTATTGTTTGTGTTGATCTACTATCTTTTGAGGTTGTTAGGTTGCTGTCTCGTTGACTTCAAATCTTCTATTATTCAAGAACACATTCTAATCTTATAGTACACACACTTAAACAAGTCAAACATTGTGTTTTATCCACCCATAGACATGCATGCAAGGGCCACCCCTTTTTAACAAGTACAAGATAAATAATTTCATACCAAAAGAGTAAAACAAATTATTATCAGTCATATCAAAACACTTCTACAAGTACAAATTTTAAAATACATGTACACTAATTAACTGTCATTTGGTAGAAGAAATCCCTGCTTTAATTTGGATCTATTTGAAATTTTAAATCTACTTGAAAATTATAGTTTCTTTCTCTAAATTAAAAACAGCATTGGTGATTCTTGACAAATTAGCAAATTTTTAAGGTCATTAGAATCATTTCCATTTTACAATGTTGCATGCCACAAATCATTCTTTTACATTTTTACAACCAGATATAAAATTTCATGTTGTTCAGGCTGTAAAAGTGATGCCACAGGTTCCTTTATGTCATGAAACTTGACAGTTGTTGGAAAAGAATGCCCTGACTTTCAAATCCTCAATAAATTATAGAAATCATGGAATAAATATTTCTAAACCCTTGTATTAGATAGGTGCTTACCCTGAGATCTTCCATTTCCTTCACATGTTCATAAAGTTTAGGATTGACTTTAGAAATGTCTATTTTTGTTTGATCCTCAGCATCCTGGAGAAATTTGAAATTACATTTAGCAACTGAAAATAAAAATAAGTTATTTCTTATGAAGCAAGAATCTTGCAATCACATTGGTTAATTAACTAGGTGTAAATAGCACCTCATCCCAACTTAACTATTTCTACCCAATAGTAAAAACTTAATAGATAACAACACACAGCAATATGAAATAGTACATTTACATAAATTTTCATGATCTAATGAATATTTTCATTTTTAAATAGTAATTTCATTTTTTTGCTTGTGAGTAAGTAAAAGGAAAGTAACTTTATCTATTTCATCTGCTAAGTTGATACCCAGGAAAGGCACTTTTAATAAACCACCTTTAGAGACAAATTTAAAATTTCACTTATTTTACTGTACTTGACACTCATCCATAGTTGACATTTCAAGTGCCTACCCTGGGTCACATGTATGTTATATGGGACAGCCCTGTCAGCATGGATAGAATATTAGAAACTTTTTATATAAATTGATGTTTTCTGAAGTCCCAATTGTGGACCACCATGGATGGAATATAATGGGGGCTAATTATCTGGATGTTTTCTGAGGTCCCAATTGTGGACCACCATGATTAGAATATAATAGGGGCTAATTAATGGATGTTTTCTGAAGTCCCAATTGTGGACCACCATAGATGGAATATAAGAGGTGCTAATTATCTGGATGTATTCTACAGTCCCAGTTGTGGACCACAATGGATGGAATATAAGAGGGGCTAATTACCTGGATGTTTTCTGAAGTCCCAGTTGTGAACCACCATGAATGGAATATAATAGGGGCTAATTACCTGGGTGTTTTCTGAAGTCCCAGTTGTGGATCACCATGGATGGAATATAAGAGGGGCTAATTATCTGGATGTATTCTACAGTCCCAGTTGTGGACCACCATGGATGGAATATAAGAGGGGCTAATTACCTGGATGTTTTCTGAAGTCCCAGTTGTGGACCACAATGGATGGAATATAAGAGGGGCTAATTACCTGGATGTTTTCTGAAGTCCCAGTTGTGGACCACAATGGATGAAATATAAGAGGGGCTAATTACCTAGTTGTTTTCTGAAGTCCCAGTTGTGAATCAGCATGGCTGGAATGTAATGGGGGCTAATTATCTGGGTATTTTCTGAAGTCCCAGTTGTGAATCAGCATGGCTGGAAAATAAGAGGGGCTAATTACCTTGGTGTTTTCTGAAGTCCCAGGTGGACCACCATGGATGAAATATGAGAGGGGCTAATTACCTGGGTGTTTTCTGAAGTCCCAGTTGTGAATCAGCATGGCTGGAATGTAATACTCATCATTCTCATGGCATTCAAAACAATAGTACCCTGCATCAAATGTACAAACTCTGGGTTTACCATATACTGAAATTATTATATACTTTTCATTATTTTTTATGAACATGCCTTAAATGTATTTTTGCATTTTGAAGAGGAATAACAGAATCTTTACTATTATAACAGACTTTTTTTTATCACACAATGTTGTATTTAGCACTGACTACATGAAAGTCACCTTAACCTTGAACTCTGCACTAAAATTTAATAGGGTTCCTCTTTTTTACTGTATCTTCCATCCATAAAATTTTAATTTTAAAACAACAAAAGAAATTTGAGTTATTATTAAGGAATCAATCTTTATCAAAAAAATTCTATGTTTGGTAACCCTGAAATTTGACATATTGACCACAAAATTAAAAGGCATCTTTTCATTACCCCCATCTATCAACAATATAAGTTACCTATAATTAAGCAAAGGAAAGAATAAAATTCATCCAAAAAAAAAAAGCATTTGTTTCAAAGATTTTTGTATTGAGTAGCAATGATCTTCAGCTTTGAATTATTAAACCAAATATCAAAAAGATCCTACCTCTCCACTGTATCTTCTTTTGGTAAAAGTTTCATTTTTATTAAGTAAATAAACTCAAGATTTCATGTAAAAAATACTTGTTTTGCACCAACAGAGGGACAGAAAGACTAAACAAAACAAGAGGCTCTCAAGAGCCTAAATTGCTCACCTGTAATTTTTTGCTTAAATCTTTCATCAATGATTATTTTTGCTTTTTAATATATTTTAATGAATGACTTAAAAATTCCATTGAGATGTTCTTTGTATCTGTCATATTTTCTTCAAAAGCAAAGAAATACATTTTACCCCTATGTTCCATTTTAGCCATAGTGGCTATGTTTCTTGACGTACAAGAAAATAAAATACAAAATTTATACTAGATACTCTGAAACTCATTCAGCCCAAGTTTGGCTGAAATTGATTCAGCAGTTTCAAAGGAGAAGATTTTTTAAAGTAAGCAAACTAGATGAACAAATTGTGAAAAATTGTCTTTAAAGGGCAATAACTCCTTAAGGACACATTTGACAATTTTGGTCATATTAACTTATTTGTAGATCTTACTTTGCTGAACATGTTTGCTGTTCACAGTTTATCTTTATCATTAATAATATTCAAGATAATAACCAAAAACTGCAAAATTCCTTAAAATTACCAATTTAGTGGCAGCAACCCAACAATGGACTGTTAGATTCATCTGAAAATTTCATGGCTGATAGAACTGGGCCTAATGAACATTTTTACCTCTCATCAGATTTGCTCTAATTGCTTAAGTGTTTGAGATAAATTAGCAAAAAACTGCATTTTACCCCTATGTTCTAATTTTAGCCATGGCAGCCATGTTTTTTGACGAAACAATGAATAAAACACAAAAAAAATTCTAGATACCCTAAGGATCATTCAGCTTAAGTTTGGTTGGAATTGGTTCAGTAGTTTCAGAGGAGAAGATTTTTTAAAGTTAGAAAACATGATAAACAAATTGTGTAAAATTGTCCTGAAAGGGCAATACTCCTTAAGGGGTCAATTGACAAATTTGGTCATATACACTTATTTGTAGATCTTACTTTGCTGAACATATTTGCTGTTTACAGTTTATCTTTATCATTAATACTATTCAAGATAATAACCAATAAAATGCTCCGTAGGGCGCAGCTTGAATCGACCGCAGAGGTCGAACCCTGAACAGTTGGGGCAAGTATGGACACAACATTCAAGCTTGATACAGCTCTGAATTTGGATTGTGATTAAATATTTGACAGAGCATAGGTTTCTGACACAGAATGAATGTGGTCTAAGAACTTAAAAATTTTAAATTGGACATTCACCTTATATGGTCCAATATCCAAAATCTAAATACATGGTTAGATTCAGCATATCAAAGAACCCCAAGAATTCAATTTTTGATGAAATCAAACAAAGTTTAATTTTGGACCCTTTTGACCTCAATGTGGACAAAGTTGATAACGGGGCCCAAAAATCAAAAATCTAAATACATGGTTAGATTCAGCATATCAAAGAACCCCATATATTCAATTTTTGTTGAAATCAAACAAAGTTTAATTTTGGACCCCGATTTGGACCAACTTGAAAACTGGGCCCATAATCAAAAATCTAAATACATGTTTAGATTTAGCATATCAAAGAATCCTAAGAATTCAATTTTTGTTAAAATCAAACTAAGTTTAATTTTGGACCCTTTGGACCTTAATGTAGACCAATTTGAAAACGGAACCAAAAATTAAGAATCTAAATACACGGTTAGATTTAGCATATCAAAGAACCCCAATAATTTAATTTTTGATGAAATCAAACAAAGTTTTATTTTGGACCCTTTGGACCTCAAATGTGGACCAATTTAAAAACGGGGCCTAAAATCCAAAAACTTAATACACGGTTAGATTCAGCATATTAAAGAACCCCAAGAATTCAAGAATAAAACCCCATTGAAATTGGTCAAGAAATAAGCAATTTATACGAAGTATCTTCTTTTGCACAATACTGTGCAATTGAATATTTCTTGCTATTGCGCAATACTGCACAATTGACAATTTCTTGCTATTGCGCAATATTGTGCTATTTGATATTTCTTGCTATTGTGCAATACTGTGCAATTGAAGATTTCTTGCTATTGCGCAATACTGTGCAATTGAAGACTTCTTGCTATTGTGCAATACTGTGCAATTGAAAATTTCTTGCTATTGCACAATACTTATTATATGATAATTTACACATCCTGTTTGGTGTGTATCTCCTACCATATCATTATTATTTGCTTTTATATATAAATCAGAAATAACCAACTTAAAATGGAAAATTTTAAAAGAAAAAAATAAGGAAAAACAGAAAAAAAAAAGGAAAATAAGGAAAAAAAAAAAAAATCCCCCCCCCCCAATTTTTTGAACCCCCTTATGATTCATCACCCCCAAACTCGATCCCAGCCTTCCCTTTGTGGTATGGTACCTTGCAGTACAATTTCAGAGAGATCCATACACTTGAACACAAGTTATTGTCTGGAAACTAGAAAAATGTGTTTTTTGGCCCCTTTTTGGCCCCCAATTCCTAAACGTTTCGGGCAATTACCCCCAAACTTAATTCCAGCTTTCCCTTTGTGATATGGAACCTTGTAGTACAATTTCAGAAATGTCCAAACACTTACACACAAGTTATTGTCATGAAACTAGAAAAATGCTTGTTTTTTGCCCCTTTTTTTGCCCCTAATTCCTACAATTTTGAGGCAATTACCCCCAAAATCAATCCCAGCATTCCCTGTGTGATATGGAACCTTGTGGTACAATTTCAGAGAGATCCATACACTTGAACACAAGTTATTGTCTGGAAACTAGAAAAATGCTTATTTTTGGCCCCTTTTTAGCCCCTTATGCCTAAACATTTAGGGCAATTACCCCAAAACTCAATTCCAGCTTTCCCTTTGTGATATGGAACCTTGTAGTACAATTTCAGAAAGATCCATACACTTTCACAGAAGTTATTGTCATGAAACTAGAAAAATGCTTGTTTTTTGCCCCTTTTTTGGCCCCTAATTCCTAATATTTTGAGGCAATTACCCCCAAAATCAATCCCAGCATTCCCTTTGTGATATGGAACCTTGTGGTACAATGTCAGAGAGATCCATACACTAACACACAAGTTATGTCTGGAAGTTACAAAAATGCTTATTTTTGGCCCCTTTTTGGCCCCTAATTCCTTAACTGTTGGTACCATAACCCCCAAAATCAATCCCAACGCAGGACAACGCCGGACGACGACGACAACAACGACGACGACGCCAACTTCATACCAATATACGACCGCAAAACCTTAAAATTACCAATTTAGTGGCAGCAACCCAACAATGGATTATTAGATTCATCTGAAAATTTCAGGGCTGATACAACTTCACCTAATGAACACTTTTATTCCTGTCAGATTTGTTCTAACACCTTTGTTTTTTAGATATAAGCCAAAAACTGCGTTTTACCCCTATGTTCTATTTTTAGCCATGGTGGCCATGTTTTTTGACGAAACAATAAATAAAACACAAACTTAATTCTGGATACCCTAAGGATCATTCAGCTTAAGTTTGGTTGGAATTGGTTCAGTGGTTTCAGAGGAGAAGATTTTTTGAAGTTAGAAAACATGATAAACAAGTTGTGTAAAATTGTCCTTAAAGGGCAATAACTCTTTAAGGGGTCAATTGACAATTTTGGGCATTACACTTATTTGTAGATCTTACTTTGCTGTACATATTCGCTGTTTACGGTTTATCTTTATCATTAATACTATTCAAGATAATAACCAAAAACGGCAAAATTTCCTTAAAATTACATATTTAGTGGCAGCAACCCAACATTGGATTATTAGATTCATCTGAAAATTTCAGGGCTGATACAACTTCACCTAATGAACACTTTTATTCCTGTCAGATTTGTTCTAACACCTTTGGTTTTTTAGATATAAGCCAAAAACTGCATTTTACCCCTATGTTCTATTTTTAGCCATGGTGGCCATGTTTTTTGACGAAACAATAAATAAAACACAAACTTAATTCTAGATACCCTAAGGATCATTCAGCTTAAGTTTGGTTGGAATTGGTTCAGTGGTTTCAGAGGAGAAGATTTTTTGAAGTTAGAAAACATATGATAAACAAATTGTGTAAAATTGTCCTTAAAGGGCAATAACTCTTTAAGGGGTCAATTGACAATTTTGAGCATATACACTTATTTGTAGATCTTACTTTGCTGTACATATTCGCTGTTTACGGTTTATCTTTATCATTAATACTATTCAAGATAATAACCAAAAACTGCAAAATTTCCTTAAAATTACATATTTAGTGGCAGCAACCCAACAATGGATTATTAGATTCATCTGAAAATTTCAGGGCTGATAGAACTTCACCTAAGGAACACTTTTATTTCCGTCAGATTTGTTCTAACACCTTTGGTTTTTTAGATATAAGCCAAAAACTGCATTTTACCCCTATGTTCTATTTTTAGCCATGGCGGCCATGTTTTTTGATGAAACAGAATATAAAACACAAACTTTATTCTAGATACCCTAAGGATCATTCAGCTTAAGTTTGGTTGGAATTGGTTCAGTAGTATCAGAGTAGAAGATGTTTGAAATAGTTTACACCAGACGGACAACGACGACGACGGACGCCAAGTGATGGCTAAAGCTCACCGTTCCGAAGGAACGGTGAGCTTAAAAGGATGAAAAAAGCAAATATATGCTGCAGAATTTTTTTCCATAAGCATAAAAAGAGACAACTGTAGTTTATTGATGTTATGTTTGGATTATACCAAGCAAGATTATAAAGAACCTGAGGAATCACATGAATACCAAATGGAGCATAACATGAGCCTTAAAAGGCCAAAAAAAGGATTTCCTGCTGCACATGTATCACACGCCATGTGAATCCAGATTCTGTCAAAAATTTCATGACAGGAAAGAGGATACAATAAGTAATCAAAGAGCTGAAAGCTCTGAGGAAAAATGACGCCACTGTCTCTAATATTGTGATATTTTTTATGCAAGTCTTGATTTTCACATACCGTAATGAGTTTTACATTGCAACATGTCTCGTAAGCATATAATTGATATTCGTATATGTGTCTGTTTTTTCAGTACAAATGAATAGGTCAAGACTACCTGAATGATCTACAGTATCCAATTACTGCTGGCTGTTTTTTTGTATAAATAAATAGGTTAAGACCACCGGAATGGTCTACAATATCCAATGACTACTGGCTGTTCTTTTGTACTAATAAAAAGGTCAAGACTATTTGAATGATCTACAATATCCAATGACTACTGGCTGTTCTTTTGTACATATAAATAAAGACTACCTGAATGATCTAAAGTATTCTAAATAATGTGATTTTTTTCTTGCAATTACATTTTTCTAAATCAAGAATATAGACTACTAGCATCCTTTTCAAACTAAATGATTATGAAGAGCCTGTTGTTAGCAAGCTCTTATACCCCACATACTCATTAAATAAGTTACTAGTGACCTAGTTATTTCTGTTACTTGAAGCAAATTATATTTCTGTATATTTAGACAATAGTATAATATTGTTTTACTAGTTTTATTTCACCTTGAAGATTAGACAAATAGGGATACTCCTTCGATTTTTTATTTCATGTCAGTCAGGTCGCTTTAAATGAAACTTGAAACCACTTCTCTGCCATACATTGTTATTTTATAACAACTCTGCCCTTGACCATATTGACCCATGTAATTGATATTCATTCTTTAACCAAATATCATAGTCAGTTAGTTTTTGATTTTGCACTCCCACACCACCTTTCATGTCTTTCAGGTCAAATGTCTGTCTCCATTTAAGTTAATGACATTGAACAATCATGGTATTAAACACAATTTCAATAGTGATAATGCTGTTCTCGTGGGTCACCATATATTCAACTTGGGTAGCATTCCAGTTATTGAAATTTGTGTCAGATTAGAACAATGATCTAGATCTTTAGGAATGGATCTTATAATTTAATATGGAGCCATAGTATGGGTACCCTACACGGTAACAAAAAAAAAAAAAAACAAGCTTGAAAGGATACAATGTCAAGCGGAAAAATCTACCACCAGAGATTACAAGTCAAAAGAGGATGGACTGGATACGTCTCTAAAATGCTTGCTGAACTGGAACTACAGCAAGATCTCCAGACAAGATGAACAAAGCGTTGAAGCCAGAAGTTAATATTTATGTAAAAAGTAGTTGAGGGGCTGATTCCCGCTATTGAACCATATTGTCATTCTATAATATCATTGCGTAAGTATTTCTGTATTGGCCTTGTTATTGGTCCATATCTTGGGTGTATTGGTCTGAGGCGAAGCGGAAGGCCAATACTGCTTGCCGAGGACCAATAATAAGGCCAATACAGAAATACACGTAATAAGTATCTTTATTAATTAACTACAGTGTTACAATATTTTTTTTATTTCATTTCACAAGAGATAAACATTTTTACCTTGAAGTGGAACTATCCAAATCTCAGTTTCCTTTTATAAGATGCAATATCTAATGATTCAGTGCCGTTTGACTGCTGGCCGAGAACCAATAATAAGGCCAATACAGAAATACACGTAATAGTATCTTTATTAATTAACTACAGTGTTACAATTTTTTTTTTTATTTCATTTCACAAGAGATAAACATTTTTACCTTGAAGTGGAACTATCCAAATCTCAGTTTCTTTTTATAAAATGCAATATCTAATGATTCGGTGCCGTTTGAAGTATCTTCAGCCTTTTCTCATCTGATGAATTTTTCTACCCTTTCCAGTCACTATAAAGTGTTACAACTTTAATTTAGACACAACACATAAATAGTAATTGGAAAGGTACTGCCATTGCATGTGTAATGCAAATATATTTAAAAAAAATAATAATATAAGAGTTGAAATTGATCCAACTATCCATAAGCCAATTGACCAAAGAACGAAGATTTGCACAATTACAGAATGCATATGCCTGGTTCGGGTTTAAAAATAAACGACCGTTTAAATACAAAACATGAGAAGCGACAGTAAACAGAAAAAATCGATTTGTACCATCGGCATCAACATGATGAAATTATGAGGTCGTCAAGAAATGAACTTTGTGATAATTTACTCGTTCCCCAAACCTGAAATAATCCCATCGTCTACTTTCAAAATGCTTTTTAAATGAATGGGACCGTCTTTAACCTAAAATATATGCCATACTGAGCGTTTCAGCTTGTTTATGGTGAGTAAACCTGCGTCTTACAAACAACTGTTTATTTTCAGTTTGAGTTTATCGTGACTTACGATCTAAAAACTAGAGACGTTCCGAAATCCTGTTTTGTAAACAAAGATTCATACGCACCGCGTGGGTATAACCGTATTACTAATTTCCGATTTTTATAATCTTCGTAAATCTGGATAAAGACCAGTTTCTATCCAATGGATATCAAAATGATTCCGATTTTCACTTTTTTAATGATTGTAAAGTTGAAATGGCATGAAAGGCTGACATTATTTAGGAGAACTATTTTGTCTAGCGATTGCTGATCATTGGAGGGTAAAAAGTCCAACACCATAACAAAACGGATCTATTTATCATGTATACATACCGATTGTTTACGATTGTAAGACATGTGCATAAAAGTGAAACCTCGAATAAATATGAAAAATATAACAAAGGGATAGCTCCAAATACCATTTAAATTTAATAACAAAAACATATGGACAGGTCAAGATATCTTTTTGGTAAATAAAATAAAGTATGTAAACTGGTTCCCGTCCGACTACAACACTTTGTAAGAGTGTAGCGTAATACAAGCAGATTCCAGTTAGTATGTAAAATCAATCTCCCATACAGACAGAGTTGTCGTCCTTTCCTCCTCAATTTGGAGGAAAGGACGACAACTCTGTCTGTATTGGAGATTGATGTAAAATAGTAAATATGAAACCGAGTGCGGTAGGCGGAGGCAATAATCGACTTTCGTAAGTTCTGGTCAATGGTATCGGAAACATGCCGCTGATAGCGTCATTTTCCAAAAACTAGAACGGTTGTGTATAAGTTTTATAACATTTGGTTGAGACAAACTAAAGTTAGAGAACGGAAACGAAAAATTCAGCAATTTTTATGTTTATAAAGGGACATAACTTAAGAATGGTAAAAGTGTCGCCACCAAATTTCATACTTAATCTGTATTATGTAGTAATAAGCATTGTGTATAAGTTTCATAACATTTGGTTAAGGCAAACTAAAGTTAGAAAACGGAAACAAAAAATTTGTACTTGATCTTAGTTTTGTGGTAATGAATATTGTGTATAGGTTTCCTAATGTTTAGTTGGGGCAAACTTAAGTTACAGAATGGAAACTTAAAATTTTGCAATCTTTCGATTATAAAGGGGCATAACTCAATAATGGTTAAAGTGACACTTACCCAAATTCAACTTGATCTGTGTTTTATCAGTGGAAGTCAAAATTAAACATTGCATTGTATAAAGCATTGATTGTAGTTGATTCAACTATAATCATGGACAAAGGAAGATAACTCCAATTTTAAAAATTACTTGATATTTAGAAGAAAATAAAAATTTTGCAATTTTTCCATTTATAAAGGGACATTACTCTAGAACAGTTAAGGTGACACCACAAAAATTCAAACTTGATCTGTGTTTTGTGGTAATAAGTATTGTGTATAAGTTTCATAACATTTGGTTGAGGCAAACTTAAGTTAGAGAACGGAAACTAAAAATTTTGCAATTTTTCAATTTATAAAGGGGCTTAACTCTAGAACGGTTAAAGTGACGCCACCAAAATTCAAACTTGATCTGTGTTTTGTGGTAATAAGCATTGTGTATAAGTTTCATAACATTCGGTTGAGGCAAACTCAAGTTAGAGAACGGAAACCAATTTTGTTACGTACGGATGGACGGATGGACGGACGTACTTACGTACATACGTACATACAGACGGACAAGGTTAAAACTTGATGCCCCCACCGCTACGGCAGGGGCATAATAAGAGAACACATAGTAAATCTAATGCTTACTCAATCCTACAGGTCTGGTACAACCTTTACACTGATAGTTCTGAGCATCAAGTCCCTTCTCATTGGCTATCTCTCCTAGTATCTCCAATTTCGATTGGGCAATCTGTATGAAAATATTGAATATATTCATTCACAAAAAAATAATGAGTGAAAAAACACACAATGTTTACATAAACAGGAGGATGTGAACACACTAAGAGATTCTATACTACATTAGATAGCTGTTAACTCTATCTACACCAAATTAAAATAGTAGGCTCACTATTTCTAATCTTAATAATTTTTCAAGTCAATATATTACACGGTGTTTAATCATATCAATGAGACTGAATAAGTCCTACTCAAACTGATACTTTAACAATTATTACAACAATTTCACAATAATAAATATTTGTGAAAATCTAGCCTTTTTATGGTATTAAACTCAGTGGACCATATTTTTTTATTTCCTTTTCAAATCGTATTCCAAATTTCCCATTACAAAAATATAAATATTCCAATGTCAATTATAATTATAATAAGTGTGATTCTAATGCAAATTTTTGTTATCATTGGATCTGCTTGGATAGTGACCAGCGTAAAATACTTTTACTGCCAGTCTGCAAATAAGAGAAGTCGCATTTTGAATTCTGAAACTTTTTTATGTGATGTCTTCAATAATAAATTATTCAGTCACATTTCTCAAATGAAAATCTCCTCTTTGTCCATTTTATTTTCAATTCTGAAGTGTTCAGAAGACAAAAAAGTATCCAGACAAGTAAGGTGCCAAAGACAAGAAAAACATTTTGCAGAATTTTCAATTTATGAGATTTTTACATCAAAATAATCATTGAAATGGACTGTTTTGTTTATTTTGCATTAAAATGGAGTTAAGTTTATTTTTTTTAAGCTTGGACTACGCATCAGTTTAATTAGCTCGATGAACAAGTTGCTAGATAAACTAAATTTGAGACAGTAAAACCTATGTTTTACATAGGCAATCTTAAAATACAATACAGCTATCTCCTAAATAATTCAAACAAATAAAATAATTAGACTAATAACTAAACAAAATGCTACTGTAAATTCTACATAAAATGCATTCATTTACTGTAATTGTACTTATTTTCCCCAATTGTGTATTTCAAACAAGTTTGCCAGTATTTATTTTAGCAATTTTTTCCAAAAATTAAATAAAAACAAATCATTTAACAGTTATAATTTTTGTCTCGTGTGTCAATATGAACGGTAATAAATTGATAACAACTACAATAGAAAAGTCAAATGGTTCAATGTCACTATATATATAGCTTGCATAAATTTAAATGACACTTTGGCCGACCGTGCAAGACCCCCCTGGGTAGTCAAAGTTGTTTAAAAAAAACTCGTCAATGACACTTTTAATACTGTAATTTACATTTCATCACATTTTTTTAGTTACAAATTATTACATTCATTGCTGAATATGCTTTGCATAAGTTAAAACATTATCTAAATGCTACACTAAAATGTATATATCCACAATCTACAAATAAGTATAGACTAATAAAGCTACAGAATATTGTAGGCACACTATATTAGTATGATTATTATACTGTTAGTAAAAGTCAAAACACCAAGCTAAAGCCTAAACAAAGCTATAAATCAGTTCAAACATTACTTCTGTGTTTTAAGTACTGCAATCTTGGAAAGAAAAAAGTGTCAACAAAAAACATATTTAAACTTTAAGTATTTTATTTGAGCACTTTTTTTTTTTAAATTCCATTATACTTTATTGAAAATTTTATCATTTGTTAGTTAGATACAGAAAGTATCGATACCTTATCCCACACTTTTTAGCTAAAAGGAATTAGACAGCTTAAAATCTTAACAGTACATATTAAAGTCTGCAAAACTAAAGAGCACATTATTTTAAGTTAAGAAATTTGCCAACAATGACAGCTATTTGGCTATCTGGTAGAATATTTAATAAATATTTGAGTTATCTCCCCTTTGAGGATTATATGTTTAAATCTATACTGCTGTTAACACTATGTTTACATTATACGAATAAGAGGCTACACTAAAATAAATATAAAAACCAGTAAATATCTCTACATTAAAACCTTGATTAACATATATGTATCCAACATTTTACTCAAAATTATTCAACATGGTCAAAGATTTCACTTTCTCTCTTTAGTTGTGACAGCAATGTAATAATATGAAGACAACTGAACCACCTAAATTTAAGTAAATGCCTAAATGAAGGGTATAAATCTTAAAATATAAAATCATCTTCCTAAGTACTATAGCTTAGTGTAGGCAATTTTAACACTGTTCAGCCAATGCAATTCCCAATACTGTGGATTCATTTATTTTCTTGGGAACCAATTTTCGTGGATAGAGGAAAATTGTTACTTCGTAGATATTTGATTTTGTAGTTGGGACAAAGAAGCTATAAGCATACAACCCAATACAAAATGTGTACTCTGTTGAATATTCAAATTTGTGTTCTACCTATATCCACGAAAACTGCAAAAATTGTACCCAGCAAATCACAATGAATCAACATGTAATGTACAAAATGTGAAGTCAGTCATCTGTGAAGAATACATAATGCATCTTTGATTTCTAATATTACAAAATTTTTTAAGGTAACAAGGTTAAAATATAGATATATCAATTTCAGAAAAGAAAAGAAAATAAAGCTTAATTTTTAATAACACAGTAAAGAGAAAGCAGTAGATTAAGGCATGCGGTCACTCACTACATCTGACATAGATGGCGCTATCTCATAATAGCCTTCTATTAATACTGTATCATCCTAAATAGTGTCAATAAAAATATAATTAAATTTGTATAAAGCAAAATCTATTTAAAACTTATATAAACTTAATCATTTATCATGTTTAGAAAACCCTGACATACTGTAAACTAACTTATCTTTGCATTAAGCTTGTTCTAGACGATTTTGGTAAACAAATAATTTTTGGCTTATTTTTTTACCTTTGATGGTTCAATTATACAGGAGAATATCAAAGATCAATATATCTATATTATTTTTCTACTCGCACAAGCCAGTAAAATAAATGGCTTGCTATAATTAGTTGGTTTATACTAATAATGAACACATGGAATAAAAATGCATCTACTAAATACATGATATAATAATAATAAATTATTGCATATTTTAGAATTAGTTTTTTTTCATTACTCATCATATAAAATTAAGCATATTTTCCAAATTACTTTTGAGGTAGGGTAGGTAAACACTGTATAAAGCAATAACACAGTAATCATTCTTCAGTAATATTATCAGGTATAAAATCCATGTTTGTCAATGTTTGTTTAGTACAAAGCTGGTTCATTCATGTCATATATTAATCTAACTTTTCAACATTTTTAATCTCAATAAAGTTGATGTTTCAATTTCACTTGGGAAAACAAAGGATTGCTTTACTGGTCTTAAATCTTCCATCCATCCATCTGTATTTTAACACTTTAAGTTTTTAATGGTTTACTATTTTTATTAACAATGCATATTGGCAGGTAGGCATCTCTTCCATGTAAATACAAACAGGTAGATAAATAAATGAACATGCACAGATGCCCCGGCTTGTAAATATAGGGAAAATTCAGCAAATTTTGCATTTTTTAATGGACATAACTCGAGAACAGTGAGAGAAACACCACTCAAATTCAAAATTGATCTGTTTTTGGTGGTAATAAGCATTGTGTATAAGTTTCATAATATTTGGTCGAGGCAACCTGAAGTTAGAGAACGGAAACCAATTTTGGGATGTATAGACGTATAGACAGACAAGGATAAACCTTAATGAACTATTAGCCTAGCGGTTGGGGCATAAAAATGTCAAATTAACTCAAAAAGAACTATATTGCAATTGTCTTACCTCCAACTCATATATCCTACTAATATGTTGAGGAGGCGGTGACATATCTGATGACTCTGGTAAATCTTGTAAGACATCTTCCAAAGAAGGGGAGGTAACTGAACTCGAAGGTGTGTAATTCTTCAGCAGAGAACCAAAACTTTCAGCTAGCAATGACAAGTTTTATAATTATTATGATTGATTGATTGTTGGTTGCCTAATATCTAGTGGCAAATATTTCATGCATGTTCAGGACGATTATTATTATGAACCAATTAATACAATTTCTTTGGTGAAGTTTTCAGTTCTATACTGAAATATAAAGCTATGTCTGGAAAGAACTTTCTTATAGATAGATTCTACCATTGCAGGGTGTGTGATATGATATTCGTGAGTTAAGCCTTTTTCAACTGATTTGTATAGTTTGTTCTTATGTTGTCCTGCTACACCACTGTCCCAGGTTAGGGGGAGGGTTGACACCTTTTTAGCACCGCCACATTCTGTATGTGCTTGTCCCAAGTCAAGAACCTGTAATTCAGTGGTTGTCGTTTGTTGCTGTGTTTCATATTTGTTTTTCGTTCATTATTTTGTACATAAATTAGGCCATTAGTTTTCTCGTTAAAATTGTTTTACATTTGTCATTTCAGGGCCTTTTATAGCTGACTATGCGGTATTGGCTTTGCTCATTGTTGAAGGACGTACGAAGACCTATAGTTTTTAATTTCTGTGTCATTTGGTCTATTGTGGAGAGTTGTCTCATTGGCAATCATACCCCATCTTCTTTTTATACTAGAAAGAGTTAAAACTTTCAAATTTAGAACACCAGGCTTGTGGAGCCTTTTAAATATTTAAAGTCATCAGTGGATAAATATCGTATTTTATTGGATACATCATGTACATTGGTTGAATCTGTTTCTCTAATGATTTTTTATGATATGAGGGCAAACTTAATCTTTCTTTTTCAATTATCTGCAAAAGATGTGTTCTTTTTATGTGATGTAATCAGGTTTTTTTTTGCGGTCACAATTGTGAAATCAGAAGAAAGCAAGTTAATTGAAGTCATAATTGAAATTAACCAATAAGCAAGAATGTACACACTAAAATATCTAAATTGTTTGATATTTTGTTATCTTGAGGCTTTTCATAGTTTACTATATGGTATGGGTTTGCTGATGGCTGAAGGCTGAATGGTGATCTGTTTACAGTTTACTGTATGATATTGGTTTGCTGAAGTCTGAAGGCCATACAGTAATCTGTAGTTTTGTACATACTTGTTCTCTGAACTTTGGCAGTTAGTAAGTAGTCTCATTGGCAATTATCCAATTTGCTGCATGTATCATTGTATGTTTCTCATTTAATCATTACGCTATTGGATACTAGAGCTGATGGATTGTAAGTCATTGAATAACCTTGGTCATTTCACTGACCCCAATTCTTTACCAAAGATAATTTAAATATTGTAAAATAGATATTCCCTGCCTACCTTTTGGTCTGTTTGGAATGTTAGTATTTCTAGACTCTGGTAAAGGCTCTATGGTGTCTGCTGCTTCCAACTGAAATGACGAAGACCATCCACTCGCAGCACCTAAACTATTACCAACACTAGACGGGGACGTTAGTCCTATATCATCTGCCTTATCACTCTCTGATCTAGGTCTAGTAGAAGTTTGACTTTCTTCTATTGTCCTAAATGGTGAACTAGAATTTTGAGGGCTATTACGGAGAGGTTTTATAATTGGCAAGGAATACCTGTGTTTTGAAAATTTCATTTTTGAAGTTTCAATTGAATTTGCAACAGCTGGTGACATTTCTGGAGCAGATTCATGTTTTGTAGCGCAAAAATCTGGTTTTAATTTATGTTTTTTGCCTTTAATTTTTACACCAGCAGACACAGGACTGGTTGTTGCTGATGCTGAAATGGAAGATGGACTGTCTGCAATGCCCGAATCTGATTGGTCAGGACTAGATTGAGGTTCTTGATTTAAATTACTCTTGTCACCAAGTATATCTGCTAAGATTCTAGCATTATGGTCTTCACGGCTATGTTCTACAGAAAACCCATCAACCGTGTCAAGATTGTGTGCCAAATCACTGCTAACATCACTGTCATTACTTTTAAAATAATTTTGTTCAATTTTTAAAACACTTTCTGGTTGTTCATTTGCCCTATCCCTATAAGATATTTCATCATCGTTTTCTATACTTAAATTAACAGGAGAATTTGATGTTGACAGAGTAGCCCTATCAGGAGGCTTGTCATCATTAAAACCATTAAAATTCCTTGATTCATCAACATTTACAGGGCTAATCTTCATATGTTCTAATTCATCCGAACGTGTAATCACAGATTCAATGTTGTTAATGTTAACAGGACTATGTCTCCTATGTTCTAATTCACTTGAGCGTTTTATTACAGATTCAATATCATCTGCTATAAATGAATCCTGAGTCTGATCTTCTTCTTCATTCAGGGTAAACATAACATCGTCCTTGTTATCATGGTCCACATAAACAGCTGGATTTAAGTTGTATTTTACTGGATCTGGACAAGAAATATGACTTGAACTAGAGTATTCCGTGTCTTGAGGTGATGAACTGAGTGTGTAGTCTTTTAAATTTTCTACATCTTGTCTTGTAAAACCTTGGGCAAAATTTCCTGCATTGAACGGTGTATTAGGTGGAGTTTTAGGTTCATGTACATGTCCAGATTTACGATGTGAATGAATGACTTTTACACTGGTGTCTTCTGAGTTCTTGGTCCTTGAAACTGGTTTCTCTTCTAGATGCTTCCCTAAAACAGTAATAGTTTTATCTTAATGTAGGCATCATATAAAACTTAATGTGCATTTATATTTTAGGAAGGTAATTTATTAAGACCTACATGTACCATTCTCTTATAATTGTGATTGCCGTACAAAGCAAAAGACTACTGTAGATTCAATTATTTCCTATTTTTATTTTATCATGGATTGAGGAAAATATTTATTTTCATGGATATTTGATTTAGTGGTTTTGTTGAAGTTTGCATATACGCCTAGAGAAAATTTTTATTTCATTGAAAATTTAAATTTGTGGTCATTTATACCGACAAAATCCACAACAATTGATATCCCACAAAGAATAATGAATCCACAGTAATATGATTGATGTCTGCTTTTTTATTTTTTAAATATATATATGTACTGAGAGACATGTAAGTATATTGGTTTATTAGTCTGATACAAATGATTACTTTTTATAACTTGTGAAGCCATCTTAGCTTGCTGTGTATTGTGAGAATAACATGTTAAAGTCCATTGTTGAAGACTGACTGAACAATGAAGTTCACGAGACTGTGTGTCCATAAGACACCAAACCCTGCTCACACTATCACATTTTCATGTTTATCAATCAGCCAAATCTTGGTCAATACCTTATAGCTGAATTGGCATATATTTCCAAACTCAATGAGTATGTGGAAGTTTCAAGTGGATGTTACCCAAACTTCATGATGATCTTCCTATATAATATGGATGTTTGCTACTCTTGCTTTTGACTTTTTGTAAGATAATCAGAATTCTCTAGTTGTATCCATGTAGTATCAATAAAAATGTTTCCTGCTAACCCTTACTTTTCTTTTCATAATTTTATTGAATATAGTTTAAAATGTCTTTTTTGAAAATCTTATAAAATCCTTGTAATTTTTTCATAGTTTTTGAAACAAAAATTCGTAAGGGTTCCGCGGAACCCAGTGTCTCGCCTACTTTTTCTGTTAATCGCAGGCTCAACAAAAATGAGGAAGTAAATCAATAAAAATATTCCTCTTGATACTATCTTTTTATTGTAAGAAGCTTCTGTCCAAGTTTGGTAAAAATCCAGGATAGTTTATGAATCTAATAAATGTTTAATAACTAAATTAACTGCAGACTGAATGTAATGTTAACTGGAAGAAAACAAAATTTCCTTCTAGATATTAGCATTTGATCATAAACAAGCTTCTGTCCAAGTTTGGTACAAATCCAAAATAGTATAAGAAAGTTATTAAAATTTTAAAAACTTTAACCACAGAGTGAATGTGTTGTTTCCTGGCAGAAAATCTAAGTCCATTTAAAAGTAAAATACGGAAAAAATGGATTTATTTTTTTACAAAATTTCCTTCTAGATACTAGCTTTTGATCATAAACAAGCTTCTGTCCAAGTTTGGTACAAATTCAGGATAGTTTAAGAAAGTTATTAAAATTTTAAAAACTTTAACCACAGAGTGAATGTGTTGTTTCCTGGCAGAAAATCTAAGTCCATTTAAAAGTAAAATAAGGAAAAAAATGGATTTATTTTTTTACAAAATTTACTTCTGGATACTATCTTATGATCATAAACAAGCTTCTGTCCAAGTTTGGTACAAACCCAGGATAGTTTAAGAAAGTTATTAAAATTTTAAAAACTTTAACCACAGAGTGAATGTAATATTTCCCGGCAGAAAAACTAAGTCCATTTATAAGTAAAATACGGAAAAAATGGAATTTTATTTTTACAAAATTTATTTCTGGATACTATCTTATGATCATAAACAAGCTTCTGTCCAAGTTTGGTAGAAATCCAGGATAGTTTAAGAAAGTTATTAAAATTTCAAAAACTTTAACCACAGAGTGAATATTTGTGGACGCCGCCGACGACTACGATGACGACGACGCCGACGGAATGTAGGATCGCTATGTCTCGCTTTTTCGACTAAAGTCGAAGGCTCGACAAAAATGTGCCAATGTTAAATGTATAAAAAATCTAGAGAGAATCAACTCCAGCCAGATTTTCAATCGATTATAACTCAAAAACAAGGACACAGGCCTGTAATTTGTTTCTACTTTTTAAGTTCTGTTATTTGTATACTATCAATTTATAACAGTCTTTTAATGAAAGAGATCTAGAGGAGCGAACATCCTTAATCAAGAACTTTAATCTGGTGCATGACGGATGAACAAATGAACAATACACCTTATCCTTATTTGTCTGCCATTACTGGACATCATAAAGGTTCCGTAACATTTTGACATTGCAATTGAAAATGTCTTACTCCACAGAGGAAAAGTGATTGCTGACTATGTCTTCGACCTATCTATTTTTAGAAAGAATTAAGTGAACTTAAAGCGTAACAGACGAGTACTATACTGGTTCCCTAACAGTATCAACAGGTAATTGTTTATTTTTATTATAGTAGCATATTGTTACTCTTTTAGTCAGGATAAGATAACTGTAACATACTAGCTCCAGTACTTACAAAATTACTGTACAAGGTAGTATATTGTTACTCCTTTAGTCAGGGCAGGGTAACAGTATCACACTGGTTCTATTACTTACCAGATGACTGTACAAGGTAGCACATTGTTACTCCTTTCATCAGTTTAGGGTAATAGTAACACACTGGTTCCAGTACTTACCAGATGACTGTACAAGGTAGCACATTGTTACTCCTTTCATCAGTTTAGGGTAATAGTAACACCCTGGTTCCAGTACTTACCAGATGACTGTACAAGGTAGCACATTGTTACTCCTTTCATCAGTTTAGGGTAATAGTAACACCCTGGTTCCAGTACTTACCAGATGACTGTACAAGGTAGCACATTGTTACTCCTTTCATCAGTTTAGGGTAATAGTAACACCCTGGTTCCAGTACTTACCAGATGACTGTACAAGGTAGCACATTGTTACTCCTTTCATCAGTTTAGGGTAATAGTAACACCCTGGTTCCAGTACTTACCAGATGACTGTACAAAGTAGCACATTGTTACTCCTTTCATCAGTTTAGGGTAATAGTAACACCCTGGTTCCAGTACTTACCAGATGACTGTACAAGGTAGCACATTGTTACTCCTTTCATCAGTTCAGGGTAACAGTAACACACTGGTTCCAGTACTTACCAGATGACTGTACAACAGGTAATGGTGTATCATCAATTTCTATGATTCCAGCTACTATCAATGGAGTATTAGTCCAGGAATTTAGAACTCTCGAGTTGTATGATAATTTAAATTCTATTGTCATTAAACCTTTAAAAAAAAACATGTATTTATATCAGTCAGTTATCTTTTTTAAATGATAAGGACTGAAAAATATCATTTGAATATATTCAATTAAACATAAGATTTTTTAGACTCAGAGCAATTTAGAGCTTCAGATATTCTATAGACAGAGACTGTATGTTTACCTCTAGAAGGCTTTTGGTTGTGTTTTTGAGCTTTTGTCTCATTAACATATACTTTATATCTCCTTTTGCTTGAGCAAGTTTATACGTATATTTTATTAAGATAAATGCATGTCTAAATCTTATGTGAACCTTGTAAAATACTGCCCTTGCTTTCAATTATTCTTACCTTTTAAAAGAGATTTAAAAATTTCTTGCTGATCAAAATCATTTAAATAAGCTAGTCCATGATAAAAATACCTACAAAAAATAATAACATATTTTATAGAATTACATTTCTGTTTACACCAGTTGCACATTAACAGTTTTTATTTAAAGGTTTTTTTTAACCAGTTAAATCATATCTTATAACTCTGCTTTACATGAATAGAATTAAGCACTTTTTTCTACGGAAAAACTTTTGAAATTTTTTATTACGACTGTGTTTGTACTAAAATCTCATCAAAGATACCAGGCTATTAATTTGGTACCCCTGATGTGTGTTTAATCTACCAAAGACTCATCATAGGCACTCAAATCAAAGCAGTTGAAAGGCCATTACAGTATAAACAGCAAGAATACTAAATATTTATTCTAAATAAACACCAATATATTACATTTTTCTGTGAAAAAGCATTCAAAAAAAGTGTTGGAAATGAAAAATTGGTACCAGGCACTAGTTAAGATACACTTAATGTTATTGTTTTAAGAAGCTAGGCCTAAAAACTTTCTTTATTAATATGAAACAGAAAGCTTGCATAATTTCCAGCAACATATACCAGAAAATAAATATGTAACAAAAGAAAATGTAAAAAAATTGATACAAACTTGTTTATTTTTTTCCCGATTTAATTGAAATTTACCCATTATCCATGTTATATACACATATATTTCTATTTATATAAATCATTATATAGATCTTTTTCATCACTCAACAACCAAATATACTACAAATGATAGACATAGACATAAAAAAACATTATTTTGATTCGGAATAGTATTAAACATATAAACATAAGCTCTGGAGAGATTTTTACCAAATATAAAAACGTATACAAAAAAAATGAAGCTTCATGCACATATAAATCATACAACTGAATAAAGTCAGGCAACAACCAAAATAAAAGATTTCTGTCAAACTAATAAAATTTTTTTTAGATAAAACTGTCTGACGATAACAATCAGCAGCTCATGTGGCAAAGGCCTCTCTGTGTCACCAAACAATAGGTCAGCAGTGATAAAAATTGAAAAGTTTACAAATAAGCACTAGAGAGCAAAGCAATTCATATAAGCTAACAATTTGAATAAATAAACATATTTAGAAAGCAGTATAAAAATAAACAAATTCAATAAAATGCAGAGCTAACAGTACAATAGCAAACACTTGTAATTCAAATGCATGTGGAACAGTGACATTTCAAACCATTTCAAGACTGAATCAAGTTTTCAAATTGAGAAAAAAACATATTCTGTCCTGAAATGATCCAGGAGAATGTTCAAAAGTGTAGCTGCAGCATATTTAAACGATTTTTTACCATAAGTAGATGATCTCATCCTGGGAACACCTAATATATTACTGTACGTATCTAAAAGAGGACTTGGTAGTTTTAACTTTTAGAAGACTGTTCAAACATAAAGACGAAATATCAATTACAATCTTAAACATTTCTAAAGCTATAGTCCTTTGTCTGGGACCAGAAGAGTTGACACCATAGCCTTATACACAAGTTAAAATACATGGACTTATAGTTATTATACAAAAAATGCAAACTGGAGTGCTCTCTCTTGCCATTTTTTAATTTTGATGTATTTTATTGAGTGCAAAAATGCCAAACCAAAGGGCAAAAATTAAAGTTACTCAATCTAAATGAATGAAATATAGTGAGTTTATTTTACTTGGAAAGAAAAGGTCCTTAACTTTTCAATGTTCTTAGCTGCTGAGATGACTTTCTACACAAATTACTAATATGTGAATCAAAATTTATCTGTTTGTCAATGTCTATGCCACACAATTTTACCACAGTTTCACAAGATAAATTAGAATTTTTAATTTTTATTGAAGGGCTGGTCTAAGGTCTTTTTGCCAACATAGCCAACACCTAGAATTTGTAAGAGTAAGCTTGCATTTCAATTTATTTCAATTAGTTTGTTTAGATTCATTTTCTAATGTAGATATTAGCTTGTCATCAAAATCAGGACTACAGAATAACAAGAGTGCACATGCTGAAATGTCTTGCCTGCTTTACTGACAATTGATTTTATGTTGAAAGTCTTAAAGATAAAGGTTTTACTAAAAGCATTACAGAAACTTGACATGTTTAAAGATCTATGACAATGAGGATAAGGTCATATTAATCATGTCAGACAGACATATATACACCTTACAATTTTTTTTATACACCAAATATAGTTGACCTATTGCGTATGCTAATTGAATAAAATGCTTCGCTGGGGCGCAGCTTGATACGACCGCAGAGGTCGAACCCTGAACAGTTGGGGCAAGTATGGACACAACATTCAAGCTTGATACAGCTCTGAATTTGGATTGTTATTAAATATTTGACACAGCATAGGTTTCTGACACAGAAAGAATGTGGTCTAAGAACTTGATTTTTTTTAATTTACCTATTATGGTCCAATGTCCAAAATCAAAATACATGGTTAGATTCAGCATATCAAAGAACCCCATATATTCGATTTTTGTTAAAATCAAACAAAGTTTAATTTTGGACCCCAACTTGGACAAACTTGAAAACTGGGCCCATAATCAAATATCTAAACAGATGTTTAGATTCAGCATATCAAAGAACCCCAAGAATTCAATTTTTGCTAAAATCAAACTAAGTTTAATTTTGGACCCTTTGGACCTTAATGTAGACCAATTTAAAAAAAGGGACTTAAAATTAGAAATCTAAATACACGGTTAGATTTGGAATATCAAAGAACCCCAATAATTCAATTTTTGATGAAATCAAACAAAGTTTAATTTTGGACCCTTTTGACCTCAATATGAACCAATTTGATAGCGGGGCCTACAAATAAAAAATCTAAATACATGGTTAGATTCAGCATATCAAAGAACCTCATATATTCAATTTTTGTTGAAATCAAACAAAGTTTAATTTTGGACCCCAATTTGGACCAACTTGAAAACTGGGCCCATAATCAAAAATCTAAATACATGTTTAGATTCAGCATATCAAAGAACCCCATATATTCAATTTTTGTTGAAATCAAACAAAGTTTAAATACTGGACCCTATCTTGGACCAACTTGAAAACTGGGCCCATAATCAAAAATCTAAACACATGTTTAGATTCAGCAAATCAAAGAACCCCAAGAATTCAATTTTTGTTAAAATCAAACTAAGTTTAATTTTGGACCCTTTGGACCTCAATGTAGACCAATTTAAAAAACAGGACCCAAAATTAAAAACCTAAATACACGGTTAGATTTGGAATATCAAAGAACCCCAATAATTCAATTTTAGATGAAATCAAACAAAGTTTAATTTTGGACCCTTTTGACCTCAATATGAACCAATTAGATAACGGGGTCCACAAATAAAAAATCTAAATACATGGTTAGATTCAGCATATCAAAGAACCCCATATATTCAATTTTTGTTGAAATCAAACAAAGTTTAATTTTGGACCCCAATTTGGACCAACTTGAAAACTGGGCCAAAAATCAAAAATCTAAATACATGTTTAGATTCAGCATATCAAAGAACCTCATATATTCAATTTTTGCTAAAATCAAACAAAGTTTAATTTTGGACCCTTTGGACATTAATGTAGACCAATTTGAAAACTGGACCCAAAATTAAAAATCTAAATACACTGTTAGATTCGGCATAACAAATAAATAAATGTGATCAAAGATTTTACAAATCTAATGCGCCATACTGTGCAATTAAAGATTACTTCTTGAAATTTTTCAATATTTGAAATTTGAAAAAAAAAAATATTTGAAGAATAATTCTTTTTAATTTCTGAAATCTGAAATGAGAAAAAATTGGCCCCCCACAATTTCTTTTTATCCCCCCCCCCCCTTTTTCCCCCAAAAAAATTCTTTCCCTCAAGATATGGTCATAATCTCAATTCAAATTTCCAATGGAGTTGGCAACCATAATTACCCATTTAAATTTACCATAGTGCTAACTTAATCTATTTTATAATAGAATTAATAAAAATATAGTGTCAAATCTTTCATATGGATTTTTTTGTAAAAAAAAAAGATGAAAACATTTGCAGATATTTTTACTGGTCTTCCTTTATAAATATGCATTTCTTTAAACATAATTTAAAAGCAGTGTAAGGGAAGTAACCAAAACGTTGTATTTGGATTACCTCCCTTACACTGTTTTAGATTATCTTTATTGTTCATTAACCATTACTTTATACATAATTTAAAAGCAGTGTAAGGGAGATAATTTCAATGATGTATTTGATTTATCTCCCTTACACTGCTTTAAATTATGTTTTGTACTAAAGTATTTGTCCATTAACCAGGACAACCTTGTTTTTCCCCCTTTTTTGCCCCTAATTCCTAAACGGTTTGAGCCATAACCCCCCAAAGCAAATCCTAACCATCCCTTTGTGGTATGGAAACTTGTAGTATAATTTCAGAGAGATCCATACACCGTTCCACAGTTATTGTCTGGAAACTAGAAAATGCTCATTTTTGGCCCCTTTTTGGCCCCTAATTCCTTAACTGTTGGTACCATAACCCCCAAAATCAATCCCAACCTTCCTTTTGTGGTATTTAACCTTATGGTCAAATTTCAAAAAGATCCATTCACTTAAACTAAAGTTAGAGTGCGAAAACCAATATGTATTCGGACGACGACGCCGGACAACGACGACGCCGGACGACGACGACGACAACGACGACGACGCCAACGTCATACCAATATACGACCACAAAATTTTTTTGCGGTCGTATAAAAACAGACCAAAACACAAAAACTTAACATTGACCAATGAACCATGAAAATGAGGTCAAGGTCAGATGATACCTGCCAGACAGACATATGCATGTACACCTTACAATCATTCCATACACTAAATATAGTTGACCTACTGCTTATCTATAGTATATGAGAAACGGACCTAATCTCCTAACCTTAACCACTGATCCATGAAATGAGGTCGAGGTCAGGTGACAGACATGTAGATGTTGCAAGGAACTCATATACCAAATATAGTTATCCTATTACTCATAATAAGTGAAAAATTCACATTACAAAAAACTCTATTATTTTTTTTCAAGCAGTCGCTGAACCATGAAAATGAGGTCAAGGACAATGAACATATGTTTGACAGAAAATTCGTAACATTTAGTATCTGCATACAAGATATTAAGTATCCAGGTCCTCTACCTTCTAAAATATAAAGCTTTCTACAAATAGTTTACGCCACCTCTGTTGGATAGTAATACCTATGTCTCACATAGGCGAGACAAAAATGTGTTGTCATCTGCAAAGTTACACAATAAGCTCTGCTTAATGGAATAAAATAAAAAATATTGTTATTCAAATGTTAAACAAAAGAGGTCCAAGAATAGAACCCTGTGGTACAACTTTCTAGATATCAGCCAAACTACTTAGTTTGTTGCCAATTTTTTTGTTGTTGTTCTCTATTTGAAAAAAAAAAATTTTTTTTTAAAGGGACACTGAATTCGAAGAACATTAGAGGATGGTTTGTCAAGAAAATTTCGTGAGGTAAGCAATTGAAAGCTTTGGAGAGGTCCATTAAAACTGTGGCAATGTCATGATTTTTATCAAAGGCCTCTCTCCAACCCTAAGTCTTAGTAGTGTGGTCTGACATCCATGGCCTGGCCTAAATGCATACAGATATGGATACAAATTTGGTCGAAAGAATCTGATAATTGAGTTTCTAATTCCTTTTCTTATAACTTGGAAATTTTTTTTTATTTATAATTTTTTCTACCTTGAATTAAACTTACATTAAAGTCTTTTTGTCAGCCATCAAGGCATCTACATAACTGGTTATTATACCATCATTTAATGCCACTCGTATCCATGCCTGTTAACAAATCAATTTATTTTGAATGCAAATATTACACCATCATTATGCCACATCTGTCAATGCCTGTCAATAAATCAATCTTTTATGAATGCAAAAATATTTTAAGCCAAAATAATTGGTTTGTCCACATCTCATTCAGTTTGTAATTTTTGTATAAACTCCAGCTCAAAGTGGTTTGGATTCAACTTCCTGTCCAAATATTTATATTTTGTAAAATTCATTAAATTATCACTGATAAGATTAAACCATTGTCTTGCCCTGACCAACATACAAAAAATTAAGACATACTTTGGAATTACCATACTTTTCTTTGTGGGTGCTAATTTATGGTTTGTGAAAACATTGTTGGTTGGTTGGATTTTTGAATGTGTCATTTTGATAAAAAATACATTCAGACTGAATGAAAAATATGCATATTGTTAAATACTATTTTTTTGGTTGCAGGGAAGTGCTATTTCCACAATTACTGGTACCCAACAGATAATTATACTTTCACAGTATATCATTCAATTACAAATGCATCTAAAAAGTATGTAAACATAACCAATGTAAGATAATAAATTACATTCTGTACATAATATCTTACATTCACTTGTTCATATTGGTGAAATGATATATTATAGTTTATATCCAACTAACCAATAATTGACGAAGTATCCTTGTAATGAATGAACTGTTAATTACTACCCAATTTACTTTTAAGTTTCAAACTGATTTTCATGAAAAAAACTTTAAAGAGCCTTTTAATAGCTTACTAAACACCACAGATTTGCTCATTGTAGAGGGCAATAAAGTAACTTGTAGTTGTAAACGGCCTACTGATTTGGTCTCTGGTGGATATTTGTCTCATTGACAATCTTACCACATCTTATTTTTTTATTTAGTGAGAAAATTGGATAACATCGTAAAAACCTTGGATGGATTTGGCTATTATTTTAGGTCCTATTTGGTTATATAGCTCTCCAACTGTTTCAGTTCTTATACATCCTTGGCTTCAAATATTCAGCTTTGAGCATTCCTTATGAAGATAAATCCAGTAAAGTGCTTTGGATGCATGAAATTTATAAAGTGTTGTTTTAATTTTTTTATTGCAGGTTACCAAACCTCATGTTAACTTGACAACAGAACAACAAAGTAGTGTACACTAAAGGAGTACCTTACCCTACATAATCCTATTTCTGTAGTAATCTGTCCAAGTCTTGTTAGCTGGGCTGCAGTATCTTTATGTGTAAACTTTGTAGCAAAACTCCAAAAATTCTACCAAAATAAACAGAATTAGAGTTTTTTTTCACATTTTTTAAAACTGAAAATGCTGAAAATACCACAAGGATGACATGCACTGCCATCTGCAGCTATTTCGTAGAATGTTCACAGCAAATACGATGATAAAAATGATATGAAAGCATGTTGTTCCAAATGTTCACTTTTATCTTAATTGTCTGATTGATCGATCATATGACCCTTTTTCTATTGAAAAACATTTGAAAAATTTGAATTTTTATTCTGACTGTCCACTATTAAAAGGCTTGCTGGTCTCTCCGTTACTTTTACATCATAATTCTTGACAGCTCACTTATTTAAGTCTTTATTCCATTGATATAGAACATAAGGAGTCCTTTTCATTTAGGAAATCTTTCAAAGAAAGAATAATTAAGCAAAAAGACCAACTGGCATAACTATATCTCAATCAAATAACTGGGTTCTTTTTTTTATTTTGAAGGATAGAATCAAAATGTAATTATCATAAATAAATATTCACTTACAATGCTTTGGTCGGCATTTTCTCCATTTTGTAGACCAACATATTTACCAAGCTGAAAAAAAGTAAACAAGATATTGACCAAAACACATAAATATGCAATGTTAAAAATAGGCTCGGAATATACAAACTCAATAAAGTTATCCTGTCATGAATAGTGACTGAGAAACCCACAAATCTTAAGTACTTCTTAAGAAATTTAAGATCACAGACAAGACTTGATACTTGAAAATATCAGGTAAGGATGTCTTGTAACAATGCAGCAAGGTCTAATTTTTCATGTCCATTCACACCATTTTATCAATGAAATACACTTCTTCATGTAATTTCATTTATAACCGATTGCAGATAAAAATAATAATGTCATTTTGTTTATCAGCTTGAATACCAGCTAATCCTTGTGAGCTTGCTTGATATTTTTGCTGATAAAATCAGTATTAAGAACAAAAATGCCATTATTCTTTGTGTAATCAGTTATGTAGAAATGGCAAAGTCTACCATTTGTTATAGTAAAGTTACATGTACATAAAGTAACTGCATACATGGTTGTAACAATGTTCAAGCTTGCACTGATATGAAAATCATAACCACTTACTCTTCAATATCACTCATTTGTTCATTTTGTTTTGTGGAAGTTGGATTTTGTGAATTTTGTAATTAGCAAGTGAAAGTTAGTCTATAAAGACAGTAGAAGACTGAAGACCAAATAATAAAATTTCTGATACTGACCTTTTTTACAACTGAATTCTTTAAACCATGCAAGAATACAGCTTCCAATATATTACACACATGGTTGGCTGTGTCAGAACTGTGGAGTAAGAGAAAAGCATTAAAATTCAATTATACTGACAACATATGTCTAAACTATTGTAAATAAGCATGATAAGTATGAATGAATGTAAATGAATGTAGTAAAATATATAACCAAACCATTTTTTTCATTCTCATATAAAAGACTTTTATAATTTGAAATATTCTCCTTTACAAAGAGTAAACAAGTCTTCATTTTTGGGAGAAGATTCTTTCTTATTAAAGCCTCTTTGTAGAAAATTTTGAAATGTTCACTTTTATACATAACACCTCTTACTATGTCAAAGGAAATACCTTTTGAAACTATTACACTACAGTAAAAAATCAATATTATACCTCATGCAGTGTGTATTTTCTTTGTAAAATTATAGACGAATAAATTGACTTTTTTTACAAAATTGCATGAAAAAGGCTATTAATCAGTTTATTGTTTCAAAAAGTATTTACTTGGTATGAACTATGTACTGGAAGCAAACATTATCCCATCTAAAAGACTTTCTATCAGTTTATAGTTTTAAAAACTATTTACTGGGTATGAACTATTTACTGGAAGCAAACATTTTCCCTTAGGATTGCCTCCCCTGTACTATGTTTTGACTGGTTACTTACCTAAGGATTGCCTCCCCTGTACTATGTTCTAGCCATTTACTACTAACCTAAGGATTGCCTCCCCTGTACTACAATGCTCTTGTTGTAGAGATTTTATTGCTGATGATAACTCTGATGATATCTTTCTTTTTATCTTAGTTTCTCGTATAATCTCATCTCTTGTTGGTCCTAAAAAAATGTCAAAACTTATCTTTACTTCAAACATGGTATTTGAAGATTGTATAAGCTGAATAAAAAATTGTGTTATAGTCACTGACCATATTTAATCTTGTGACTTGTCTGTGATTTTAATATGTTACATTGATTTTTTTCTCTACGACATAACGAAGCAGTAGATTTGTAAAATTATTTCTCTATGACATTGGGAAGGAGTAGAGGTTTGTAGCCTAATTATTTCTTAAAACATTGGGAAAGAGTTGAAAACAAGGAATTATTTGAATCTGGAATAATTTTGATTTCTGGAAAATTGATTAGAAATGTATGATGAAAACTAACCCAACTAAATAGGGTTAGCCATGCGTGCATGGCTAAGGTTAATTTTACTTTCACTATCATTTCAGTATGAACTAACTAACCCACCTTAGCCATGCGCGCATGGCTAACCCTATTTAGTTGGGTTAGTTTTCATCATATATTTCTCATCAATTTTCCAGAATTCAAAATTATTCCAGATTCAAATAATTCCTTGTTTGAAATTTAAAGGCATTTTACTGCTGCTGCAACCTTGACCTATTACTTAGTGACTTTAAGTCTTTTTACTGCTGCTGCAACCGTGACCTATTATTTAGTGACTTTAAAATCCTATAGGGTCTTTTTCAACCCAAGGCTCATTATCCCAAATTGAAGTAAATTATATGGCCTTCCAAATACCGTTTCGATCCCTAACATCACTGAAGAGACATTAATTGTCGAAATCCAGATAAGGTGTACAAATTTTTGCACCTCATGTTTGTGGCATACCATCTTTTCCACAAGTTTATTGTTTTCTGTTTGGCATTTGATTAATATTAAGATCCATTTTGTTAGATCTGGTGATCAATTTATTTGGCAATCGCCAATGGCAGTCAGCAGGGTTTAAGATCATCAGTTGTTCGACCTGTTAGTCAAATGCGTTTTGTTAAAATAGACTTTTTCACTTTTTTTGGACTTTTGGAAATTGTTGTTTGTGCTGTATTTAGACCCCTCTACCAAGAAATTTGTTTTACATGCACACGTATAAAAATTGTGGTTTTTATCCAAAGCAATCATAGGTTTGAACGTTGTTATCAATTTAGACTTTTGTATATATATATATATATATATATATATATTGGCAAAAATCTTATTTAAGGTTAAAAAATTGCAAGAATACAAAAATTTATGTCTATTCTTTCATGTCATAGGCACTTTGACCTTGATCTTTGGTCTACTTAGTTATGATTTTAAGCTAAGTTTGGTGAAATGTAGACATTTGGTTCAAAATATATCAAGAAACCAGGATGATTTTGTCCAATTGCCCTCAAAATCAATAGGAGCTTCCAAAGGCACATAATGAAACCCACTTTGGTAATGATTGGATACATATGTTCATCAAAAAACCAAAATATTTGCCATTCAGGCATTCTATTAATTGCTTCTGTGACTGTAACATTGACCCTGTGACCTTAAAATCAATCAGGGTCTTTTCACCCCAGGTGCATTTTCTGCCAAAGATTGGTAAATTTCTGTTTTATGGCAGGAAAGTTATCAAAATAAACTGCTTCGCTGAGCGCAGCTAGATACGCCTGCAGAGGTCCAACCCTGAACAGTTGGGGCAAAAATGGACACAATATTCAAGCTTGATTCAGGTCTGAATTTGGATTGTAATTAAATATTTGACATTTTATAGGTTTCTGAATAAATGTAGTCAAAGAACTTGAAATTGGTTATATGAATTGAATTTATATTCAATTACAGATTTCTTGCTGTTGTGCAATACTTAGTAAATCTGTTGTCAGACTATAAACAAATAAAGTTCAATTAATTCTCAATGTCATATTAGAAATTTATGAAAATAAAAAGGGAGCTTACATCAATAGATATAAACAATTCACCGAAGTTTCATGAGAATTGGTGACAGCATTTTTGAGTCCGAAAACTGGAAAATCACCCCTTTTTTTAATGAATAAAACCCCATAACTCAGAAATGTAAAATGTAAAATTTATAAAATTCTATAGGGAGCTTACATCAATACATACAAACAATTCACCAAAGTTTCATAAGAATTGCTGAAAGCATTTTTGAGTTTTTGTCCGAAAACTGGAAAATCCCCACTTTTTTTATGTATAAAACCCTGTTACTCGGAAACGTAAAATCTAAAATTTATAAAAATCAAAATGGAGCTCATGTCAATAGATATAAACAATTCATCACAATTTCTTGCAAGTTGGTGAAAGCATTCTTGACTTATTGTCCGAAAACTGGAAAATCCACCTTTTTTTAATGAATAAAACCCCATAACTCGGAAACGTAAAATCTAAATTTTATAAAAAACGAATGGGAGCTCACGCCAATAGATATACACAATTCACCAAAGTTTTATGCAAATTGGTTAAAGCATTTGTGGGTTAATGTCTGACATGTTGACGACGGACGGACAACGGTATACCAAAATACAATGTACGTCCTGTAAACGGGCGTATAAAAAAAGTCAATCAAATTAAATACAATTAATAGGCTCTGTCATCTTCACACAAGATGCATAATAAAATTAATTTCTTATCTGGTTCTTTCAAAAGTTTTTTTTTAAAAAGGTATTTATAACAGGGCATGAAACTAAACTCCTAACAGGAGGGACTGTGGTTGATTTTCATATGATGAAGACATAATCTTTCGCTAAGTTTAATTGAGGACTGGAGCTGGCATGTCAGTAATTGCTAGTAGTCCTTTGTTTATTTATGTTGATCATTGTCATTTTGCTTAGTTTCTTCTGTTACCTATTCTAACATCGGACTTGGACTTCTTTTAAACTGAGTTTGACTAGAGTTATAGGCAGAGTAAAATTAGATCTCACATATTTACGGCTGTCCCAAGTCAGGATCCTCTAGCCTTTGATATTCTTACAATTTTGTTTTCTTAATTTTGGTTCATTTGTATGTTTCAGAGTTTAGTGTGACATCCATTATGCTGAACTAGTAAGCAGTATTGTTTAGAGGCCATATTAATAAAAAATAAAATGCTCCGCAGGGCGCAGCTTGATACGACCGCAGAGGTCGAACCCTGAACAGTTGGGGCAAGTATGGACACAACATTCAAGCTTGATACAGCTCTGAATTTGGATTGTGATTAAATATTTGACACAGCATAGGTTTCTGACACAGAATGAATGTGGTCTAAGAACTTAAAAATTTTAAATTGGACATAAACCTATTATGGTCCAATATCCAAAATCTAAATACATGGTTAGATTCAGCATATCAAAGAACCCCAAGAATTCAATTTTTGATGAAATCAAACAAAGTTTAATTTTGGACCCTTTTGACCTCAATGTGGACAAAGTTGATAACGGGGCCCAAAAATCAAAATACATGGTTAGATTCAGCATATCAAAGAACCCCAAGAATTCAATTTTTGATGAAATCAAACAAAGTTTAATTTTGGACCCTTTTGACCTCAATGTGGACAAAGTTGATAACGGGGCCCAAAAATCAAAAATCTAAATACATGGTTAGATTCAGCATATCAAAGAACCCCATATATTCAATTTTTGTTGAAATCAAACAAAGTTTAATTTTGGACCCCGATTTGGACCAACTTGAAAACTGGGCCCATAATCAAAAATCTAAATACATGTTTAGATTCAGCATATCAAAGAACCCTAAGAATTCAATTTTTGTTAAAATCAAACTAAGTTTAATTTTGGACCCTTTGGACCTTAATGTAGACCAATTTGAAAACGGAACCAAAAATTAAGAATCTAAATACACGGTTAGATTCGGCATATCAAAGAACCCCAATAATTCAATTTTTGATGAAATCAAACAAAGTTTAATTTTGGACCCTTTGGACCTCAATGTGGACCAATTTAAAAACGGGGCCCAAAATCAAAAAACTTAATACACGGTTAGAATCAGCATATTAAAGAACCCCAAGAATTCAAGAATAAAACCCCATTGAAATTGGTCAAGAAATAAGCATTTTATACGAAGTATCTTCTTTTGCACAATACTGTGCAATTGAATATTTCTTGCTATTGCGCAATACTGTACAATTGACAATTTCTTGCTATTGCGCAATATTGTGCTATTGGATATTTCTTGCTATTGCACAATACTGTGCAATTGAAGATTTCTTGCTATTGCGCAATACTGTGCAATTGAAGATTTCTTGCTATTGTGCAATACTGTGCAATTGAAAATTTCTTGCTATTGCACAATACTTATTATATAATAATTTACACATCCTGTTTGGTGTGTATCTCCTACCATATCATTATTATTTGCTTTTAAATATAAAACAGAAATAACCAACTTAAAATGGAAAACTTTAAAAGAAAAAAAAAAAGGAAAAAAAAAAAAATCCCCCCCCCCAAATATTTTGAACCCCCTTATGATTCATCACCCCCAAACTCAATCCCAGCCTTCCCTTTGTGGTATGGTACCTTGCAGTACAATTTCAGAGAGATCCATACACTTGAACACAAGTTATTGTCTGGAAACTAGAAAAATGCTTATTTTTGGCCCCTAATTCCTAAACCTTTTGGGCAATTACCCCCAAACTCAATTCCAGCTTTCCCTTTGTGATATGGAACCTTGTAGTATAATTTCAGAAAGATCCATACACTTACACACAAGTTATTATCATGAAACTAGAAAAATGCTTGTTTTTTGCCCCTTTTTTGGCCCCTAATTCCTAATATTTTGAGGCAATTACCCCCAAAATCAATACCAGCATTCCCTGTGTGATATTGAACCTTGTGGTACAATGTCAGAGAGATCCATACACTAACACACAAGTTATGTCTGGAAGTTACAAAAATGCTTATTTTTGGCCCCTAATTCCTTAACTGTTGGTACCATAACCCCCAAAATCAATCCCAACCTTCCTTTTGTGGTATTGAACCTTATGGTAAAATTTCATAGAGATCCATTCACTTAAACTAAAGTTAGAGTGCGAAAACCAATGTGTCTTCGGACGACGACGCCAACGACGACGACGACGACAACGTCATACCAATATACGACGTATAATAAACACATTTTAAACAATATTTTATTGTCATGATTGTTATTAAAACAAATAAACCAATTTTAGGCCACCAGACTTCTACAGACACTGCTGCAATTCAGTACGACCCTACATAGCTTGCTGCACATCTTTGGACTTTATGAAGTTGATGTTTCAGTTGTATAAGGATCCCAGACAGTGCAACAATATTCAAGTTCTAGTTTGATAAAGGCTTGGTATGGGGTGCCTATACAGTACGAAACAAAATAGAAACAAAACAAAACAAAAATAAATGAAGCAAAACAAAACGAAATGAAAAGAAAAGGGAATCAACGAAACGAAAGAGGAATCAACGAAATGAAATGATATATAACCAATTTGATTCATATTTCATTCATAAGGGTTAAATGACACCCTTCCTAATTTGATTAGCTTATCTGGCAAAAAAAAGGTATTCTGAGCTATAATCATCACTTTCCATCTGTCCGTCCATTTGTTCAGGAAAATTTTACACATTTTCATCTCTGGAAACTTGGACCAAAACCATGAAAATACAGCTTTAACTCACAAAAATTTCTGATTGTTCAAGTATGGCCCTTAGCAAACAATTTTTATTTATTTAAGATCAGCTTAAACACATGCCCTGATAGACAGATGCATTCTTTGATTCTAATTGACAAACCCCCCTCTAAAACTACACAGCGGATGTGAACCAAATTTTGTAGAAATTAATAAAGCACTTTTATTACACACCATACTTCTTAATCTTAATAAGAGAACGAAAAGGAAATACATTTAATTAAGGTGGATCGTTATGGATTATCTATTGCACAGATTACGACAGATTTGTTTAATTAAGGTCGATCGTTATGGATTATCTATTGCACAGATTACGACAGATTTGTTTAATTAAGGTCGATCGTTATGGAATATCTATTGCACAGATTAAGACAGATTTGTTTCAATTGTCATAACCACAAGTCCTTTGAAAGTGACATCACCGACAGAGACTTATCACCAAATTTGTATTGCATAGGCAACATGAACGGTGCCACATGTGGAGCAAGATCTGCTTACCCTTCCAGAATCCTTGAGATTAACCCTGTTTTTAGTGCATTGGTTCACATTATGTTTGTATTGCTCAGTCGAGTTATTCATTTTGTGTTTTGTAGACTGTTGTTTGTCTTTTTGTTGCCTTTCATTTTTTGCCATAGCGTTGTCAATTTGTCTTCTTGCTCTATTAAGAATATAATAATTTGTCATCAAACAGAATGGTTCTTATCGCTTGAGTAGTGGCGTGCTCGCCTCAATTGCAGGTTGTCATTTCTATACCTGTACCTGGCGTGAGTTCTAACCTCACACGTGCCAGGTGTGCTCTACTCAAATCTTAATTGACTACTAGGATTGTTAGTTTTCCTGTCAAATGTTATGGTTCTCTATGAGTACTCCGGCTTCCTCCACCAATAAAAACTGACCACCACTAAATAGTCAATAGTGCTGAAGGTGGTGCTAACATCAATCAATTAATCAATCAATCGATACCTGGCAATGTCATAGTTAAACCAGAACTTGAAATTTGTTATTTTCTGCTTTCCAACTATTCACAATGATTCAGTTGTACAAAAAATTTATAAAGGAGGAAAAGCAATAACCCATGTATAACTGCTCAAGAGTAGGAAAAATGCGATCTGGAAGGGTGAAATGTTGTCTTGTGGACTGTTTCTTTGTGCAGTAACACATATAAAATCCGACTCAGTATGACTGACTTGTACAAAACAGGTTCATATTCATTACACCATAACCTGCTTCCATTCCGATATGCATGTAATATTTTTTACTGGACCTTAACACTTCTTCTTCACTATCATCTAAATGCTTCTAAAATTTATTAACATTCCAGTCTAATCTGACTTTAAATGCAAAGAGAGGCAATATATATATTTTGTATTGTTATCATAATATATTTGATTAATTTTTATTTCATTTTATTTCTTTTCGTTTCGTTGTTTCCTATTTCGTTTGGTTTGTTTTTTTCATGGATTTCGTATCTTTTCGTTTTGTATTGTTTCTTTTCTTTCGTTTCTTTTCTTTTTGATTTGTTTCTATTTAGTTTCACACTTTATACATTTGTAGTACATATGTACGGACTTAATAAGCATGATAAGTCATTGCTAATTCTGAGATTTCTTGTAATGAATGAAGGTAGAATAAGGGTACCCTACATGATGAATAACAATAAAATATTTGTTAAAATAATGTTAAAAATTTACATTTACTGGACCATTTGGCAAATAAAATAATTTTCATTCAAAATGAGATTTGAGGAATGACGAGAAAAAATCAAGGCTCATTTGACGCTAATGGTAGCGAAAAAGGAACATTTTACGACGGATTATAAGGCCATTAAGGGGCATTTTTAGTTATACAGTAGTAGTCAGTACCCTAGGACGGGAGTCATATATAATGCTTGTGCCAAGTTGTGGAATCAGTTTATTCCATTATAAAATTGACGATGATATCGCTACTCCGATATATTTTGTATTTTCAACTGAATCAAGAATGTGACCAGTACATGAAGATGTTATAGTCTATAGACATGATAGAATACGGAATAGGTGTTTCTTTGTGGTCATCATGGTTATTCAGATTAATCAGTATACTACATTTTTTAGTTTAAAGTCTCCCTCAATTTACCACGCTTCTTGAAAATTTTCCCTGAAAGACTCATGAGTTTCTAACATAACATGCAAAGACTGATCAACATAAAAGATCATAAATGTGCTTTGTTATTCTGCGTTCCTCTCGTGATGGGTGTTCCTACAGCTTGTTTATTTATTTCCGGTTATTTTGTTCCTCTGGACTATTCGCTTGTTGAAGTCGACCAAACTAGAAAAATTCCGAGTGTGGGATTCTCCTTCGCTTCCGGTTGGAAAATGGCTTCTGCTAGAACAGGTGCCGCGTTGGAGATTCGTAAAATTAGGAAAAAAATTCGACAGATTGAGAATCTTGAAAGTCTAGATAGAGATTTGACAGATGAAGAACTCAATAAAGTGGGCAGCTTTTTATTTTCAACTGACATTGACAATATACAATATAAAAATAAGTAGATTGCCAATGAGACAACTATCCACCAAAGACAAAGTTCAAATGATGTGGATGTAAGCAATTATAGGCAACCGTACGACCTTCAACAATGAGAAAAAAAACCATACCGTATGGTCGGCTATAAAAGGCCCCGACATGAAAAATATGAAACAATTCAATTGAGAAAACTAACGGCCTAATTTATAACAAAACAATTTTGTAGCCAGTGCCTATAAATAATAGTCCGAGGAAAAACAAATATGACAGACATGAACCTGACTTGGGACAGACACATAAAGAATGTTGCGCGGTTAAACATGTTAGTGAGCGCTCTAACCCCCATCCCTTAACATGGGACAGTCAGTCAGGGGTACTTGTACAAGTAATCTTTATTTACTTGAAGAAGTAAAAAAAATATACTTATTTAAGTTAATTATAATGTTTGAATAACTCCCCTTAATTTTCTAAAAAATTTACTTCATATGCAACTATTCCAGTCATAATTACGTTCGATAACTCTGCATGTGACTGGTTAAGTAAGGATTGTGTAAAATGTACTGGTTACCCATGTGATGATTTAGAAAAAATTAAAATTATAGATATTTCATCTTTGTTACCGTTCATTGGAGGTTTTCTTTTGTTAATATAAAATATCTTAAAATGTCTTAAAAACAATAAGACACAATTTCATAAATATTTCAAGTATTACCTTTTAATTAATAACTAAATGAATACATGTCGAGTCGTTGTTTACTTCCGACTTCGGCCGCCATTTTCAAAATATTGCTAGAGAACGCAAATATGTGAACTTTTCAATCAAATTTTAAAGCAAAAATTTTGTTACCTGCTGATTTGGTTTTTGATTTCATTAAAATAGATGTGTTCTCAGTATTTTTAGGGATTGGGAGGATATTATTAACATTAAATAAGTTGAGAAAATTGACTATATAAGATTAAGGCCCCATTACAATTTTATTGAGTTATAACGAAGAAGTCAACGGACGCTGTGTGGTTATATCACCTCAATTTTCAAACTTAATTCGAAGCAAGAAACAAGAAATCATATTTTTGAACTGAAACTTAAGACATTTTTAATTGTAAAATGAAAATACTGTAAAACACGGGGTTGGGATGTAAAATACACAATGTAACAAAAAAGTTATGATCGTTTAATCTATGCAGCCCGTTCATTTTCATAGATAAGCAATAGGCCATTAATGATATACAACTGAATTGTAAAAGTCACGTGATGACCGCAATAGTTAAATATGGTATAAGTAAATTTTTTTTACAATCCCACAAAAATTCTCAAGTTTTGAGATGTAAAAACATGCCTTTAATGATTTTTCCCAGGTTAGCTCATAATTTTTTATTAGAGTTCAATGTTTCATCTCATTAATTGCGCAAAGATCTTAAGTATTTGCAAAAGGCCTTCAAAAATTGCTCATTGGGGGCTTGTAAATGAGCAGTGTTCTGAAGATAACAGACAAATGAGATTTCCATTGTCCATGAAATTACACTTAAATGATTAGTTAGGACATCTGCAAAGGACAGACAATTTAAAATTCTATTAGAGCAAAATAGTCCTAAGAATTCAAGAAAAGAAGATAGGATGACTTTTTCACTTATATAAGTAAAAAAATTTGAATGTCTAAGGGACATAACTAAGCCAATTTTTTTTTTACCTTAAGGTGTAATACCACCAAATCATAGTACGTCACATCCGGTTGCATACGAATATAGGTCGGAAAAAATATTCCCTTGAATTTGACAGTTGTAGGTAATTAATCCTACATTTCATTGCAGTAAAACATTTCTGGGTCATAGACATTTATCTTATGTATTTAAAAGCACCATTATTTTTTTATTTGGGGGTTCTATAGAATATTTTGGAAACTTGAGGTTACATGGTTACTAAAGCTTGTACACAGGTTAATAAAAGGGGAAAATTTGATTGGTTAACTTCCAGTGATGGTTATTTTCTTATATGCAATGAAATGTTATGTGAATTTTTTTCTTTAGTACTGGACAGGATAAAACTTTAATCATGTCAAGTATTTCTTTATTTGAAACAAAGATAAATTCTGCACATTTTTTTGAAAAGTGCAAATTTAACAAAGACTAATAGGGGGAAATCAATGGTGGTAATACACCTATACAAGTAAATAAAATACACTTGTATAAGTATCCTACAAATTTACTTATATAAGTATATTAATATAACTTCTTCAAGTAAATAAAAATTACTTGTACAAGTAGTACCCCTGACTGACAGTGGTGTAACAGTACAACATAAGAAACTATAAAAATCAGTTGAAAAACATATTTACTTTTTTTAAATCAGTAAATTTTAAGAATACAGTCGATTCCATTTATTTGCATAGCCTATTTGTCAGACAAAATTATGCAATAAAGCGGAGTATGCTTATATCCGAAATGCCAAATTATGGAGTCAAATAGCATCGATAGAACCAAGATCAGTAATGGAAATCCCTGAAGAAAGATGAACGTCTATAATCCACTTACAACATATTGAATGTTGATTTATTCTAATAAAAGTTATATGTCTAATGTCATACATGTTATTTTATTTTGTATTCTTTCAATAAAGATTATAAACACATTTTGTTTTAGTTTATTTACGTACCGATGTTTCCTTTACAGGGATTTGAAAATAAAACGTTGTTCTAAAAATAGATTTGTTTCTATGACCCGTATGTACAATGTACATTGTTACGCTTTGATTAAAATAAACTGTTTAACAATACTTCACAGTTTAAAATCATTTTAACAATAGATGTGTAATGAACTGCCTTTAATATGCAGTATGTACAGCTTGCACAGTGTATAACACTGTTTATTTAACCTCGTGTATAAGATGAAAGATCATAAGATGAGTAAAATTTCATCTAACTGTCAATTTGTGTAACTCATTCTTAAAAAATCAACTCGAGATTGGTATATAGTTAGCTATAAATATATATAAAAATCCTAGACATGACAAAATATGAAAACAACATATGATCAACCAACTGGTGCTTTGTGATGTCACAAAGCAAATTAATAATCTTCACGTCACAATGTCCTATGACGCATTTTCCCCTGAAAGACCCTATGTTAACAAAAGCAGTTCATTGATATAATAGAAATTTGGAAACTTTTCTATAGACAAGTTTCCAATAGACTATTTTCATATTACCGACTTTTGTCTCAGTAAATTTTTGACAGGTTACCTTCTCTGTGGTTGGAAATTCTGGTACTGGGTCAAGAAAGAACAACTAAAAGAAGTAAAATCAAGCTATTAAATACAATTAATTAGTTAAATTAGGCAAAACAATTGTACTGTTTCCGATGATTTTGTTGTGTAAAGAAAACATAAAACAACTATATTTTTTGTCTGAATTGCACTGCTTGTAAGCTTGATTTTACTTCTTTAACTTCCTCTTAATTGACTGAGTACCAGTATTTTCTACCACAGAGTAGGTAGCCTGTTGAAAATTTATACACTCCATAGTCAAAAGTTGGTAATATGAAAAAGTCCATTTCTGTTTTATGAATGAAGTTCCTTGGTTTACCTGTGTTTATTTGGGGAAAACATGTTCCTTAGGACATTATAATGTGAAGATTATTTGCTTTGTGACTTCAAAATTTTAACACCACTAATTCGGGCCTGGTCAGAAAGCACATACCAGAAAGTAGTACATATTTAACACAAAATAGTTCCTACGCATGGGTGTAACTTTCAAAATGTGTAGAATATTTAGGTAATTTTGGTATCAAATGAAAGCGGAATAACTGGTGATCATTGCAGAACACTTTTTGACTTATAATTTTGAAAAATAAAAAAATTGCATGAAATTTTAAAAAGAGGGTACATTTTGCCTGTTTGTCAAATCCGAAGTTCCGGGAACCAGTTCTTTCTCATATGCCATTAAAGGTATGTTGATTTTTTCAGTGCAAGACACCATAAAGTGTTGCTTTGACATGCAATGATTGTCTATTTATTTGAACTTAAAACAACAGAGTTGTGCCTGCTTGAAATTGAGGAATTTAACAGAGAAAGCAATGGGGCCATGATTTAGTGGTGTACTTCCTTATATTAAAACAATACACTAATAACAAATATGACAGACAGCAACCAAAAACAACTGCTGAATTACATTGGTTCCTGCATGACTTATGACACTCTGTCAGGCACATACAGAATGTAGCAAGGTTAAACATGCTTGTACATGTTGTAATTGCACTTTACTCTCCCAAAAATTAAACTGGAACAGTGGTGCAATGCAAACTGTAAAAATTAGTTTGCAAGGTTCTTTATTGTGTACTAGTAGCAAGGATATGGTGTACAAAATCTCGATGGGCACACAATAAACTTAAAAATAATGAATAAAAAAAAATGGAATTTTCCTACTTGTTGATGGTTTTTCTAGGCCATATAGTATATAGCAGCCTTATCCACCTAGTGCTAGAAAATGGAAATTACATTTTATAAGTTTGGTTAGTCTTAGGTCCCTGGAAAATTTATCTTAACTGATATTGATTTCAGATTGACCCAGAGCAAGAAACACATTAAATTATTCAATATGAAAAAAGTGATGTCAGATTTTATTTCCACATAAGTAATTTATTAATCTCCGTAGAAAATGAAGTTTGAAAAATATAAGGATGTTAACAAAAGTGTGTTTCATATTGTAGTAGGATCAAGGTTCAACAAGTTCAAAGGTTATATCTGTGCTAAATGTAATTGGCAAAAAAAAGGTTTAAATTCTTAACAAAATAGAATACATGTCAGACTCGCAACAGGAAACTTTTTAAGCTTGTGAGATTAAATGAGAATAAGATTTTCATGCTGAATAAAGTCCACGTAGAAAATGAATAAAATTCTATCAATAATTGTATTCCATTGTAGATTTTGAGGAAAAGTCTTTTACGGGAAAATCTATTAGAATTATTGGCTGAGCATGGGGAAGAAGAGAGTTTCACTTCATCAACCAGATCTGAACTGACAGATGATGGTATACTGACAGAAAGTTCTAGTTACCATGACTATATTGTCGATGCTGGTTACCATGACAGCATCATAACAGGGGAAGTAACCATCATTGAACCTGAAGATGAAACAAACACAGATTTGATTGAAATTGATGTCACAGATGACCTTGAAGAAGAGATGATCATTAATAAAAAGTTAGTAGAAATGAATTACACTAAGGGTTCATCTGAACTTGACCTAATGATCATGGTTTATTGTGGTCAATATTAAGTTAGGTCTGTTTATCAGATACTATAAGAAAAAGTATTGTAAATCTACAATAAAAAAAAATGAATATGGTGTATCAATTGGTGACACAGAAACACTATGCACAGATGACAAAATCCATAAACGAAGAAACAGTACATTTAATGCTGTTTTCATCTTTATCTCAGTCTGACCTGGAACATTGGACAAAAACTCTATAAACACTCCACCAATTTACATTTCCCAAGATAATGTAACTTTAATCATTGTGAGTTTTTTATGCCCCCGCTGTAGCGGAGGGGGCATTAAGTTTTACCCTTGTCCGTCCGTACGCCCCAAAGTTGGTTTCCATTCTCTAATTTTAGTTTGCCTCAACCAAATGTTATAATGTTATAACTTATACAAAATGCTTATTACCACAAAAAAAGAAGATCAGGTTTGAATTTTGGTGGTGTCACTTTTACTGTTCTAGAGTTATGCCCCTTTACAAATGGAAAAATTGATGAATTTTTCGTTTCCGTTAACTTAAGTTTGCCTCAACCACATGTTATGAAATATATACATAATACTTATTACCACAAAACACAGACCAAGTACAAATTTGGGTAGCATCACTTTTACCGTTCTTCAGTTATGTCCCTTTATAAATTTATATGATATGCAAGCGGGGGCATCATCTGTGCCCCATGGACACATTCCCATTCATTTTATTAAATCATAGAAAAAAAGTTATCTTTCTTAAACATGTTAAATGGTTGGTGACTTACAAAATTTAAAAGCTTATTCCAAAAAATAACAAAATTTTCTTCTTTTTTTTCCCCTGTCAAATTATAAAAATCTTAACGTTAGATTATTCAGGATAAAATTTTTCTTTGAAAATTTGCCAAATATTCTTATGGTGGGAATTGAATTAATCAGAATTTTAGAAATACCACAAATTTTGCTATGGTGATCAAAACATGCTAAATGCACACAGCAAAATGGTTCAGCCAAGTAACAATCCTGAAAGATAGAATATGTTTTTTATTTTATTTATTTCTTCAATCCTGGAAATTTAAAGCAGACTTATAACCCGAAAACAAGGCCAGTGACCCCATTATTTTTAAATAGTATTTTGATCAGTATCATGTGAAATACTGTCATGCATTTTATTATGAAATTACTAACATGACTAACATCAGAATTAAATTAGAATAAATTAAAACAGAATAACTTAAGCATTACAAGATATAAGACATTTTAATCCTTTGAAAATATTTTCAGTACTAATGCAGTAACAGGAGAAATTCTTGAAGACAATATGGTTAATACTAAACCAGTTAATATGGAAACCAAAACTAAATCTCAAAATAAATCACAGCCTGTTACCAAAGCAACAAGCAAAGAATTAAGGGAAAATACAAATCCTTCACCAGTGAAGAAAAGCAAGCAGCCTAAGTCAATATCAGCAACGCACACAAATGGTAATTAAACTTTTGTATAATATTAGGGCTATGGACAAAAATATATGGGAGGGTTGGACACCACATGATTTTATTCTGTGGGTAATAGGGAAAGCAAATACAATTCTGCTGAAAATGAAAATAAAAATTATCATATGGGTAGTTGGGTATAACAAAAATATTGTCCAGCAATCTCCATTACATTTTTTTCTGGAATAGCCCTTGTATGAATTTATCATAAATCTTGTTATGTCTGTCTTGAGTCCAAATCCCAATAAGGAAATTTTGTCAATTTTATTTTTTAAATTGTTGAACTAGAGATATGATATTCATGGAGGCCAAAGGCAGAGGGTGAATGTCATATCTCTGGGGTTGATAAATCATTGTATCAACTGAAATCAAAAGTCAACAATTGTTTTCTTATATGACTTTTTATCCTTCTCCAATTTTCTAGTATTTGCTCAAGATACTTTTTAAAACTGCTCCCTGTTTTTATACTAAATATATCATCTGCTTTTGCAGTTGCCAATTTTCATAAGTTGAAATATTCATTAAAGTTTTCTAAAAAATTACACCGAAAACGAGAAGAAGAGAATAAAAAACACAGAAAAGAAGAAGAAAAGGAAAAAAACCCAGGAATTTACATGACGTCTTAAACCTACTTCATTGGCGTTGCCTTGGAATATCTATTTTTAGGTACACAGATGCTGTTCCAAATCTTATATTAACCTCTCGTGATTTTTTCAGCGGTGAATATAAGGTTTTATCAAAGAGGATTTCCTATGCTATTAGCCAATGAGAAAACAGAAAATTTAAAGTCATATAATAAAACCTAATAATCATTTAACATGCTGCAGTTTATAGTGTAATCTTTTAGTATTGCTTAATTTTAAAACATTTCAAAATCTTGAATAATTGAATAAAATCCACAACCCTCTTAGCAGAGAAATTTTGAATAAATCTAAAGAGAGCTCATCTACAGGTATTTCCATAAGGAGATAAATCACTGAACTAAAATGTTAGATCTTGGTGGACTTCAAGTGTTCCTTATAATTTGATCCTACAGAAAAATAATTAGGTATACAGTCCAATTGTATTATGATCAGACTGGTTAGAAATTTGGCTGACATGATGTAATGGCTTATCAAGTTTTGTATTTATTTTTTACAGAAAAAACAGAAAAGTTCTCCAAATTAAAAGCTACATTACATAAGTGGAGATTTGGCAAGTTTGAAGTGATAGAATTAGAAGGTCATAGTGACCTAGTTACAGATGCTGATAGTGATGGAGTCTTGCTTGTAACTTCCAGGTATAACAGACATGTATATTGTATCCCAATTTGAATTGACAACTCTAATGGATGTTCTCTGTCATAAACTTTTGTATTTAAAATACTACTTAAGACATCACAGTGACCTAGTTACAGATAACGAAAAATAAATATCGGTACATTGTGTTTACTTAAAACTTCTACTCAGATTACCAGTATCCTCAAAAAATGATCACTGATGAAAAGTAACCATTTAGTATGTGGCTTCATTAAGATTTAGAAATTATTCTTGCTACTGACAATAGTTTTAGATTTTAATCAATAGATCACAAAGTGTTACAATTCTGTACTCCTCAAAACATCTGGAAGATTGATTTAAAACTAAAAAGTACAGAGAAATAAAGAAGTTAAAGATTTGTTTTGGAAAAAATTTAGGAAGCCTTGAAATAAAACTATTTTTTATTCATAACGGTCATCAATTTAGATGCAGTTGTGTTTTAAGCATATTTTACCTGAGACCTGTAGAATTTAAATTTTTTTTGTAGTCGAGACACCACAGTAAAATTATGGTGTTTGGAAACTTTATCTGAGTTAAGAAATTATGGAGGCCACAACAGTGCTGTGACTTGTGTACAACTTCTTTCAAAGGATGATTCTGCTAATGTTTGTATGTATATATAGTCAGTTTTACAATATTTCTTGTTATGTTTACCTTCTGCAGGAATATTAATTGAAGATATATCAGATCTACTTGTCCCATATAAAAGAGAGAAGAAAAATAAGGATTTATTGCAGTGTGCTGAACTTTTAACTGCATTGGTAAAGATATTGGTTTAAGTCTGATTTGATGAAACATACACAAAACTGATTTTATTGTCTTAGTGGTCTCATTGATAGAGTGGTCCTAGTGGTCTCATTGATAGAGGGCTCCCCTGAATGCAGGAGATCGAGGGTTTAATACCAGCCAAAATACTGATTTTATTGTCTTAGTGGTCTCATTGAAAGAGTGCTCACTTGAATGCAGGAGATCGAGGGTTTAATACCAGCCACAACACTGATTTTACTGTCTTAGTGGTCTCATTGATAGAGTGCTCACTTGAATGCAGGAGATCAAGGGTTTAATACCAGCCACAATACTGATTTTACTGTCTTAGTGGTCTCATTGATAGAGGGCTCACTTGAATGCAGGAGATCGAGGGTTTAATACCAGCCACAATACTGGTTTTACTGTCTTAGAGGTCTCATTGATAGAGGGCTCACTTGAATGCAGGAGATCGAGGGTTTAATACCAGCCACAAAACTGATTTTACTGTCTTAGTGGTCTCATTGATAGAGTGCTCACTTGAATGCAGGAGATTGAGGGTTTAATACCAGCCACAATACTGATTTTACTGTCTTAGAGGTCTCATTGATAGAGGGCTCACTTGAATGCAGGAGATCGAGGGTTTAATACCAGCCACAATACTGATTTTACTGTCTTAGTGGTATCATTGATAGAGTGCTCACTTGAATGCAGGAGACCGAGGGTTTAATACCAGCCACAATACTGATTTTACTGTCTAAGTGGTCTCATTGATAGAGTGCTCACTTGAATGCAGGAGATCGAGGGTTTAATACCAGCCATATCAAACCAAAGACTTAAAGATTCACAATTCACATTCACATTTATATATTAAAGTTGGGATGTCAACGAGTGCTCGAGTATTCGAGTATTGCTCAGTATTACTGAGTATTGAATATTAAAACAGTACTCGACTAATGGGTTTCTTGTTAGAATATTGCTGCTTAGCTTTTTTATATAATGTTGAACCTCTTTTGGAAAATTAGATATGCATCACTGATTAATCATATTAGTAAATAAAATACATTTTGTTTTGAATGATTGTGCTAAATTGTCATTTAAAATGCCTCTGAAAATATGTGGGCTATACCTAGGCTAACACTTATCAGTACCGCCAGAGCAAATATTTTCGTCTGCAAGACTGTTAGTTACAAAGTTGCAAAACCGACTGTCCTCAATAATAGTTGAAAAGAAAATGTTTTCAAATATAATAAATTTGTTGCATCCCTTTATGACCCTCAATGAATAGTTAAACTTCTAATCCTTGCGCCTTTGTGAACATTGAATGTGTTTTCTTAACGATTACCAAATACTATAATTGTTTGATATGGTTTTCCTTGTTATAATTTTCAGATAGGTGTTCATTAGTTTATATTGATTAGATTGTTGTTTTTTACTTCATTAGTACTTGTAGGTAATGAGCTATTACTTATGGTGTGTAATTCCTTGTCCAAGATACTTATGTAGTTGGTTTTTCGTCCGTTGAACAACAAACCACATAATGTAAAATACGTAATTTTGTGTTTCCGTGTTGAAGATATATTCCCGAGCGAGTACTCGAGTATCGCTCGATAAAACCAACTAGTACTCGATGAGTAATGTTTCATCGAGTTGACATCCCTATATTAAAGTAATAGAATTAAGATCTCTGTTATTATTTTCTTATTCTAAATACAGGTAAATCGCTAGGAACAGATAATACAGAGAGATTATTTATCAGTGGATCTTATGACTGCAGTTTTAAAATATGGTCGACAGGAAAATCAGGTATCATAGTTGTTAAAAATATGGAATGATTACTAATGTTTCTAGTTTCTCCATTTCTAAATTGCAGAAAGCAAAAAAAATTGTATTCCATAAGTGGTACTGATGGGGAACAAGGGATCTCTTGATAAAATTTTATATTTATATTTCAGTTTTTTGTTATATCTTTATATAGAATATTTAGATTTGACTTGTGTTTCTTGTCCATTAAACTCTGTGTAACTCTTCAGTATAATGGACTTTAAATAAACGTTAATGGTATGAAAATTTGTCACCTGACCATTCAGAAGGGAGATGCTGGCATATATTTGTCAAATATATACTCACAATAGCATCACTTCAAATTCGAGAAGGAGAGGCTTGTTTCTGAAAACAAAGAGCTAAACTTTAAAAAATTGCATTAAAAGAAGATAAAAACACTGGATTATCTCCCTTACAAGAGAAATTCATTAATCATGAAAAAAAAAAATTCAGTTATACATCATTTTTACAAGAAGCATGTGTCACCTATTGTACTGTTTACTTACTAATTCTTGGAGGCTTTTTGTTTTTATACACCGCAAAACATTTTTCGTTCGTATTATGTTATTCTGTAGAATAAAGTTGGGATTGATTTTCGTGGGGTCATGGCCCAAACCGTTTAATAATTAGGGGTCGAAAAGGGGCCAAAAACAATTATTTTTCTGGTTTGCAGGCAATAACTTGAGTATAAGTGTATTGATCTCTATTAAATTTTAGCACAAGTTTCTATACAACAATAGAAAGGTTGGGGGTTATTATAGTAGCTGTTTAGGAATTAGGGGCAAAAAAGGGGCTAACAAAAAAAACGTTTATTTTTCTGGTTCACAGACAATAACTTGAGTATAAGTGCATGGATCTCTATTAAATTTTAGCACAAGGTTCTTTACCACAATAGGAAGGTTGGGATTTATTTTGGGGGTTTATTGTTGTAACTGTTTAGTAGTTAGGGGCAAAAAAGGGGTCAAAAACAAGCATTTTTCATGTTTCAGGACAATAACTTGTGTCTAACGATAAGAGTATGGATCTGTATGAAATTTTTATCACAAGGTTCCATATTTCAAAAGGAAAGTTGGGATTGATTTTGGGGGTCATGGTCCAAATTGTTTAATGATTAAGGGATGAAAAGGGGCAAAAAAACTAGGATTTTCTTGTTTCTGGACTATAACTTGAGTATAAGTCTATTTATTGCTATTTAATTGTGCCACAAGGTGTTATACCATAAAATAAAGTTTGGGATTGATTTTAGGGGTTATGACTGTAAGGGTTTAGTTAAAAGGGGCCAAAAATAATTCTTTTGTAATACTTTGTATAAATTGCTTATTTCTTTAGCAATCTCAATGGAGTTTAATTAAAAGTCTTGAATTCTTGGGGTTCTTTAATATGCTGAATCTAATTGTGTATTTATTATTTGGATTTTGGGTCTGTATTTGAATTGATCCATATTAAGATTCAAAGGGTCCAAAATTAAACTTTGTTGAGGCTTCGCTAGCCTTAAAACCAGGTTCAACCCACCATTTTTTTGTCGAGCCTGCGACTTTTGTCGCAGAAAGCTCGACATAGGGATAGCGATCCGGCGGCGGCGGCGGCAGCTACGGCGGCGGCGGCGTTAGCTAACTTCTTAAAAGCTTTATATTTTAGAAGATGGAAGACCTGGATGCTTCATACTTTGTATATGGATGCCTCATGTTACGAAGTTTCCGTCAGTCACATGTCCAATGTCCTTGACCTCATTTTCATGGTTCAGTGACTACTTGAAAAAAAAGTTCAGATTTTTTGTAATGTTAAATTCTCTCTTATTATAAGTAATAGGATAACTATATTTGGTATGTGCTTACCTTGCAAGGTCCTCATGCCCGTCAGACAGTTTTCACTTGACCTCGACCTCATTTCATGGATCAGTCAACAAGGTTAAGTTTTCGTGGTCAAGTCCATATCTCAGATACTATAAGCAATAGGTGTAGTATATTCGGTGTATGGAAGGACTGCAAGGTGTACATGTCCAACTGGCAGGTGTCATCTGACCTTGACCTCATTTTCATGGTTCAGTGGTTATAGTTAAGTTTTTGTGTTTTGGTCTGTTTTTCTTATACTGTATGCAATAGGTCTACTATATTTGGTGTATGGAATGATTGTAAGGTGTACATGTCTAGCTGGCAGGTGTCATCTGACCTTGACCTCATTTTCATGGTTCAGTGGTCAAAGTTAAGTTTTTGAGTTTTGGTCTTTCTTTCTAATACTGCATGCAATAGGTCAGCTATATTTGGTGTATGGAATGATTGTAAGGTGTACATGTCTAGCTGGCAGGTGTCATCTTACCTTGACCTCATTTTCATGGTTCAGTGGTCAAAGTTAAGTTTTTGAGTTTTGGTCTTTTTTTCTAATACTATATGCAATAGTTCAACTATATTTGGTGTATGGAAATATTTTATGATCTATATGTCAGTCACGCAGGTTTTATTTGACCTTGACCTCATTTTGAAGGTTCATTGCTCAGTGTTAAGTTTTTGTGTTTTCGTCTGTTTTTCTTAAACTATAAGCAATAGGTCAACTATATTTGTTGTATGGAAGAATTGTTAGCTGTACATGCCTGCCTAGCATGGTTCATCTGACCTTGACCTCATTTTCATGGTTCATTGGTCAATGTTTACTTTACTTGGTTAATGTTAAGTTTATGTGACAGTTGTAATAAAGCTTTATATTTAGGACTATCAACATAATATCAATGATTAGTAAAGAAGGCGAGACATTTCAGCGTGTGCACTCTTGTCTTAAAATGTCCTGTACCATGTCAAGAATATGGCAGTTGTTATCAAATAGTCCATTTCTATGTATGTTGGCGTTTGTATTTGTTGCAGTTCAGTGTTTCTGTTGTTCCTTTATTTTCCTCTTATAGTTGATGTGTTTCCCTCGGTTTTAGTTTGTAACCCAGATTTGTTTTCTCTTAATCGATTTATGACTATTGAACATCGATATACTAATGCCTTTATTTTTGATTTCTTCAAAATATTTAATTATTGGTGTTCTTTGATATATGCTGAATCTAATACGAAATTGTACTACAAGGTTTCATATCACAAAGGGAAAGCTGGAATTAAGTTTGGGGGTAATTGCCCAAAACGTTTAGGAATAAGGGGCCAAAAATAAGCATTTTTCTAGTTTCCAGACAATAACTTGTGTTCAAGTGTATGGATCTCTCTGAAATTGTACTGCAAGGTACTATACCACAAAGGGAAGGCTGGGATTGATTTTGGGGGTAATTGCCTCAAAATTTTAGGAATTAGGGGCAAAAAAAACAAGCATTTTTCTAGTTTCAGGACAATAACTTGTGTGTAATTTTATGGATCTTTCTGAAATTGTACTACAAGGTTTCATATCACAAAGGGAAAGCTGGAATTGAGTTTGGGGGTAATTGCCCAAAACGTTTAGGAATAAGGGGCCAAAAGGGGGCCAAAAATAAGCATTTTTCTAGTTTCCAGACAATAACTTGTGTTCAAGTGTATGGATCTCTCTGAAATTGTACTGCAAGGTACTATACCACAAAGGGAAGGCTGGGATTGATTTTGGGGGTAATTGCCTCAAAATTTTAGGAATTAGGGGCCAAAAAGGGGCAAAAAAACAAGCATTTTTCTAGTTTCAGGACAATAACTTGTGTGTAAGTGTATGGATCTTTATGAAATTGTACAACAAGGTTCCATATCACAAAGGAAAAGCTGGGTTAGAGTTTGGGGGTAATTGCCCTAAATGTTTAGGAATTTGGGGCCAAAAAGGGGCAAAAAAACAAGCATTTTTCTAGTTTCCAGACAATAACTTGTGTATGGATCTCTCTGAAATTGTACTGCAAGGTACCATATCACAAAGGGAAGGCTGGGATTGAGTTTGGGGTTGATGAATCATAAAGGGGTTCACAAAATTTGGGGGGGGGGGATTTTTTTTCCCTTTTTTTTCTTTAAAATTTTCCATTTTAAATTGGTTATTTCTGATTTATATATATAATCAAATAATAATGATATGGTTTGAATAGGTAAATTAATTTTTTTTAAGTTCTTAGACCACATTCATTCTGTGTCAGAAACCTATGCTGTGTTAAATATTTAATCACAATCCAAATTCAGAGCTGTATTAAGCTTGAATGTTGTGTCCATATTTGCCCCAACTGTTCAGGGCTCGACCTCTGCGGTCAAATCAAGCTGCGCCCAAGGGAGCATTTTATTACAATAAACTAAATATACACATTTGTACGTGTGGATTAGTACAATGTATTTACTATTAATTTATTCATTCAATAATTTTCACCTATTATCAAGATAACAAAACATGTGGTAATTATCAATAATTTAATTTCGGATGTAACGTGTCTTCTGATTGGCTGACGCTGTTTTTTTTATCAGCTCATAGACATAATTCTGTCATGTGACCGTGACATCATCAACGTTTTTTCATGGTCTACTCCGGTTTAAAATGGAATTTAGAATTAAATTATAAGAAATGACTGTAATATTTTTTCTGTCTATTCGAAATAACATAAAAAATGTGGTGCACACTTTAAAATAACACGCTACGCGGGTTATTCAGTGTGCACCACATTTTTTATGTTATTTCTTCATAGACAGAAAAAATATTACAGTCATTCCTTAAATAACACAATTATAATTGGAGTGACAGATTTATTTGAAAATTTTGTGTTTCCTAAGTCATGTAAGTGTTGTTGATGATAAGCTCTGTAGTACAATATAAATATAGTTTGAAATTTACTCTTCATTATTCATGTTATTAGATATTTTGAAAATAATTACAGATAAGTTTTATAGATTTTTAAAAGACATTGTATTAATGATAAATGATATTTTTGAAATTATTTTTATGCCCCACTTAGGGGCATTATGTTTTTCGGTCTGTGCGTCCTTTCGTCCGTCTGTCCCGCTTCATGTTAAAGTTTTTGGTCAAGGTAGTTTTTGATGAAGTTGAAGTCCAATCAACTTGAAATTAAGTACACATGTTCTCTATGATATGATCTTTCTAATTTTAATGCCAAATTAGAGTTTTTACCTCAATTTCACGGACCATTGAACATAGAAAATGATAGTGCAAGTGGATCATCCATGTACTATGGACACATTCTTGTTTTCTTTTATTTGGTAAACTGTGTGAAGAATTTTGTGGCAGGTTTGGTTGTTATTCTGTATAAAGTAATTTTCTGAATGCTATATATATTTTTGTTTTTGATGAAGCGAACTGCTTTAAAAATTATATTAAGCTTATATTGTCTATTAATAAACATGTATTTAAATTTTTGATTTAGGCCCAGTTTTCAAGTTGGTCCAAATTGGGGTCCAAAATTAAACTGTGTTTGATTTCAACTTAAATTGAATATATATGGGGTTCTTTGAAATGCTGAATCTAAATCTGTATTTAAATTTGGATTTTTAGGCCCAGTTTTCAAGTTTGTCCAAATAGGGGTTTAAAATTAAACTTTGTTTGATTTCAACAAAAATTGAATATATGGGGTTCTTTGAAAAGCTGAATCTAACCGTGTATTTAAATTTTGGATTTTGGGCTCCATTATCAAATTGGTCCACATTGAGGTTCAAAGGGTCCTAAATTAAACTTTTTTTGTTTGATTTCATAAAAAATTGAATTCTTGGGGTTCTTTGATATGCTGATTCTAACCATGTATTTAGATTTTGGATATTGGACCATAATAGGTAAATGTCCAGGAAAGAATGAAGTTTTAATTGAAAGTTAAGTTTATTAAGCATCCTGAAATATCACAGTTATGGTCATCAACGATGAGGAAAAGTCTTTCCATTACTTCAATGTTTGTTCCTATCTTTATACCGTCTTGAAGGTGCCATCTAAGTGGTGAAATATGTCTACCAAAATAAAATAATTTCCTTGCCATAACCAGGATGTTTTCAAAATAGCATTTTATAGATATTTTTTTAACTTTTATTCATGATCAATCATTGAAGATTATAATCTCGATTTAAAAAAAAAAAATTTGGTCATCAATAAAAATTTCAAATATTATCCATAATCAGAACATCACTAATCTGTAACTACTTTACAACATTTATTTGTTGATAAAAACATAGTACACTTTGTTTTTGAATATCAAGAGGTCTTAAATGTTATAACTCCCAAGTCACCAAAGGAGCACATGTTTTTTCTATTAATTAACAAAACCTTTTTTCATAGTATCAAGGATTCTGTACATGTCTTTGTGTCATTGTAATTATACAAAGTTCCGTAGGGTATAATGTTTTTTACCCATCCGTCAGTCCGTCAGTCCTGTTCTTGACATCGCAACTCCTCTGAAACCACACAACGGAATTTCATGAAACTTTGTAGATACTACACACTATGTAGATGTGCATAGCGACAGGAAGTAATTCAATTTTAATTCTAGGCGTTATGCCCATTTGAACTAAGAATTTTGGCCTAAACATACTACTGCAACAGTTTGTCAATGCAACTCCTCTGAAACCACACAACGGAATTTCATGAAACTTTGTAGATACTACACACTATGTAGATGTGCATAGCGACAGGAAGTAATTCAATTTTAATTCTAGGCGTTATGCCCATTTGAACTAAGAATTTTGGCCTAAACATACTACTGCAACAGTTTGTCAATGCAACTCCTCTGAAACCACACAACGGAATTTCATGAAACTTTGTAGATACTACACACTATGTAGATGTGCATAGCGACAGGAAGTAATTTAATTTTAATTCTAGGCGTTATGCCCATTTGAACTAAGAATTTTGGCCTAAACATACTACTGCAACAGTTTGTCAATGCAACTCCTCTGAAACCACACAACGGAATTTCATGAAACTTTGTAGATACTACACACTATGTAGATGTGCATAGCGACAGGAAGTAATTCAATTTTAATTCTAGGCATAATGCCCATTTTAACTAAGAATTTTGGCCTAAACATACTACTGCAACAGTTTGTCAATGCAACTCCTCTGAAACCACACAACAGAATTTCATGAAACTTTGTAGATAATAAGGACATAATATGTACATGTGCATAATCCACAAGAAATTTTTATAAGTTGATTTTTGTAGGAGTTATGAGTCTTTGAACTTAGGAATCTATTGAGATTTTGTTCGCCCAGTGACAATGTAGGGGCGTGGGGTATGTGTGCATGCTCACAAAGGTTTTTTAATTGTAAAAGAATTATGAAGCTAATATTATTACCCGTTATATTGCAGCATTTTATAACATCACAATATTATGTAGTAAAGAATATATATATCTGTTTTATTTTTTTGTGTATTTAATTCCTGTGCAAACAAACAAAACAAAGATAATAATTTAATGTATATTTTCATCTCACAGTAAAGACTGGACACATCATGAACTTTTATCTGGTCATCTAAGGGTCAATAAAGTTAAAGTAGGATCAATATTCAGATAAGCCTTGTGACCATTGTTTATGACTACTCTACTCTTTTTGACTGGAATGATCAAAATCTATTTCCTTTTAGTAGATACTACATTGATGTAGAAATGAGGATAACTTTTTTTTTAAGTGTGTGTAATTTAAAAAAAAAATCATTCACAAGCTTTAACTATGTGAAAATGCTTATAAGTATTGGTAGAAAATATGTCACCTGTTTTATAAACTTATTTAAAAATTCACTACCTATAATCATATAGTCAGTTGAAAATTTAATATTTCGATTTTAAAAGTTTAATATATAATTTTTACCAAAATATGAAACCCTCCTTATTCTACATGTAACTCATCTGATTTTTTTTATTTCAGGAGAAGCTTTGCGGTCTGTGTATACATTTAACCCTGTTACCAAGGTGATATATCACCCAGTGGCACAAGCCATAATAACTGGATCAGGTATATTATAGAATAAGTTATTTTTAAGAGATGAAATTAACAATGGACATTTTGCATAAAATGTGGTGCTGAAACAAACAATATTGTCTATGAGAGGGGTCTATGTGAGTGGGAATAAATCAAATGGGTAATTACCCCCCCCCCCGGACCATATGATCCTTTTTATGAGTGTAAAAACCAATAAAAGACTTAATGCTATTACAGGATGCAATGTTTGAAGAGGGAATAAGTAGAGTACAAAATATTGAGAAAAGGAAGTTTTTTTGTCGGCAGAAATTACACAGGATAATCCAAAATCATTGGTTATTCTTCATTTTCAGTGACTACACAAAATTACACTTGGTTAGAGTAATCATGTCTGTTGTAAAACAAAGTAGAAATTCTCCTGAATGTGGTGGTTTCATGATGCTGTGCATCAACATAAAACAAGGAGATGTGGCCAATGAGACAACTAGCCACCAGTGACCAAAGGACAAGTGTGTAAACAACTATTTGCCACTGTAAGGCCTTCCATAATTCACAAAACCCATACTGCATAGTCAGCTTTAAAATGGCCCTCTATGAAAAAATGTGACACAATTCAGATGAGGATATAAAGCTGTTTTGGGGATATATTTCTTACTAAAGAGTGGAAACAGTGATCAATACATTTCTGTGCTAAACATATTTTCTTTGGCCTGTATTAGTCTAACACTTGATTAATTGTTTGACTTTTATAGAGGACAACACTGTGTCACTGTAATATTTTTTTACATTAAAATTATTCGAAAATGTCTTAACACTCTACCTTTGCCTCCACTCAGAGCTCTGACTAAAAAATAATTCAAAATGTGTGTAAAATACTCAATGCTCATGTTGAAAAGACAGCAAATGAATTTCAAAATATGTCTTGATTTGAAGCAAGTTGTTTTCTGAATTGGAAACTCCTCTCGTTGCATTTCAAATTAACCCCTGCAAACCAACCTGTATTTACAATCTTTGAAATTTCAAGGGTAAATTCCTGGATCTCTGTTATAGATTTTTCCGTTTTTAAGATATTTTTCATTAAGCCGTCTGATTCCTATATAATCTGTGTACCCTCAGTGTATGTCCATCAACAATCTCTATTATGAATCTATCTGTTTTTAAGGTTTTTGTCGAGCCTGCGAATTTTGTCGCAGAAAGCTCGACATAGGGATAGTGATCCAGCGGCTGCAGCGGCTTTAGTTAACTTCTTAAAAGCTTTATATTTTAGAAGGTGGAAGATCTGGATGCCTCATGTTACGAAGTTTCCGTCAGTCACATATCCAATGTCCTTGACCTCATTTTCATGGTTCAGTGACTACTTGAAAAAAAAGTTAGATATTTTGTAATGATAAATTCTCTCTTATTATAAGTAAAAGGATAACTATATTTGGTATGTGCGTACCTTGCAAGGTCCTCATGCCAGTCAGACAGTTTTCAATTGACCTCGACTTCATTTCATGGATCAGTGAACAAGGTTAAGTTTTGGTGGTCAAGTCCATATCTCAGATACTATAAGCAATGGGTCTAGTATATTTTGTGTATGGAAGGACTGTAAGGTGTACATGTCCAACTGGCAGGTGTCATCTGACCTTGACCTCATTTTCATGGTTCAGTGGTTATAGTTAAGTTTTTGTATTTTGGTCTGTTTTTCTTATACTGTATGCAATAGGTCTACTATATTTGGTGTATGGAATGATTGTAAGGTGTACATGTCTAGCTGGCAGGTGTCATCTGACCTTGACCTCATTTTCATGGTTCAGTGGCCAAAGTTAAGTTTTTGAGTTTTGGTCTTTTTTTCTAATACTATATGCAATAGTTCAACTATATTTGGTGTATGGAAATATTTTATGATCTATATGTCAGTCACTCAGGTTTTATTTGATCTTGACCTCATTTTCAAGGTTCATTGCTCAGTGTTAAGTTTTTGTGTTTTGGTCTGTTTTTCTTAAACTGTAAGCAATAGGTCAACTATATTTGTTGTATGGAAGAATTGTTAGCTGTACATGCCTGCCTAGCATGGTTCATCTGACCTTGACCTCATTTTCATGGTTCATTGGTCAATGTTTAGTTTACTTGGTTAATGTTAAGTTTATGTGACAGTTGTAATAAAGCTTTATATTTAGGACTATCTACATAATATCAATGATTAGTAAAGAAGGCGAGACATTTCAGCGTGTGCACTCTTGTTTTAATTTTCATTGTGAATTCCTGGATAATATGTTTATTCACTCATGTCACTGTTACCATCTTAGCACAACCAGCACTATAACCTTAAGTACAAAACAAGTCACACAGTCATTTCATACTAAATACAGTAACTTGTTTTGCCAGGTTAATTAATTAGTTTGCCTGATACATGTAAGATTTACCAGCCAGTGGGAAGTATTCTTTATACTATAAACAACTGTTATACAAGTGTGAGGTTTAGCTATCCATAAAACCAGGTTTAACCCACCATCTTCTTCAGAATTGCCTGTACCAAGTCAGGAATATGACAGTTGTTTCCCATTTGTTCTGTTGGTTGATATCAAACATCTAGCGTTTGATTTTGTCAGATTTTATGGACTTCCCCTTTATGAATTTACCTTGGAGTACAGTATTTTTTCAATCCTTTTTTGAATATACTTCAGAAAGTTAAACATTATATTCACTTTCAGTATAAATTTAATCGCGTTGTTCAGTATTGCATATAAACATTTGGTTAATTTTGTTGTTGGATTACTGTCCTATTGAAGTACATACCCCTCATCTGCTTTATTATACTTCATTTTCTATGTTTTGTTTTGTATTCTGTTGTTGGTCTTTTGTTTATTTTTGCCATGGGGTTGGTCAGTTTGTCATTGACTTATGAGTTTGAATATCCCTTTGGTATCTTACGCCTCTCTTTCAACATGATAAATACTTTAAGATAAGACATTTAAATGGTATATTTTAAAAGTTCTCTTTCTTGTTACTTTATTTCTAATTTGAACCAATAAATGACCAAGTTATCATGCCCAAAGCATTGAAATGCTGTCTTGTTGACCTTTCAACACATGTATTTAATTATTCAAGTTAAACTCAAAACAAGTTTATTGAAAGCACATTAAATTTATTGAAACAATATTGGCATCTTTCAAAGGGAAATTTCTACACTGTATAATATGGATACTGTTAACAAAGAGGCTACAGTCTGTACCAGTTTTAAAAAGTTAAGAACATTTTAAAGACTCAGTTGGAACTTGATGCTTTGGGGATGTTTGATTGTCATGAATTAGTTTTAGCCATGAAAAAATAATTTAATGTTTCATAATGATAATACAAAAAAACAATTAAGGTATTGAACTCTGTAGTGATTGTGATTGTCTTGGTAAAATTATAATATATGTTTAGAATAGAAATTTACTACTTTTCACCTAAAAATGTTATATTATTCTAATTATTGGTTCCAAAATATTCCATTGTTAAACTTATTAATAACTTTGAATCTAATTCTTCAATCAATAGTATCAAGACTATTAGAATAACCCCAATTTAACACGTCCTATAAAGATAGTTCCTGATGGAGACAGAACAAGATCATTAGAATCCAGAATAGTTCAACTTATATAGTTTGGCCTTTGTAGTGTCTGGACTTCCTTTTGCACTAGCACATCCAATGAAGATATTTCCTGATGTAGACAGAGCAAGGGAGTATGAAAATAAGATTCCCATGTCATAGAGGTTGAAGTAGGTAATACTTTGTCCTTGGTCAGTCAGTATATGCAATAAATGATTGCTCATATCAGGAACAACAATATTATCTGATGGTGTTGCTAATATTCCTACGGGTTTAAATGGTTTCTCGCCTGTGTTAACATCAGCGTGACCAGTATAAATCCCTTGAATGTCGCCTCCTGGTGCTAACACCACCACTAGACCTCTGCCATCACCATCTAACCAATCCACCACACAGACATAACCATTACTGGTACTGGTTATACATCTAGGGTAAGTGAATAAACGTTTGTTATGTTTGGTACCAGTTAAAAATTTAGGCAAAGTTAATAAATGCTTCTTATGATTGTCATATTCATATTCCTCTAGTCGTTTTCCTTCCTGATCCATTACAACCACTACACGTCTTCCTGTGGCAGGGAATAACTCTCCTGGAGACATGGCACCTATCATGACTTTCTGATCACTGGTTACATGGATACTAATTGGATATAATGGTTTTACATCATACCTGGAATCTGTTACTGTAAATTCAGAAATTATTGCGTGCATTTATTATTGCGATTTTTCAAGAATGGACAAAAATGCGAGATTAATAATTGCGATATCATGAAAATCTGCATACAGATATATGTAACAGACATCAGAATGCGAGTTCTTATTATTGCGATAGTCACCCAGTCGCATTATTCGCATTAATAAAAACCTCGCAATAATTTCTGAATTTACAGTATCTGACCTGTCATGGTGTTGATTAGTTTTAGTTTAGTCTCACCTGTTGTAACAAGAATGTTATTTAAATGAGTTTTTGCCATTCCATAAATCTTAGTGTTTAAACTTGTTATAACTTCAGTCATATTCTCCCTGAGTTTGACATGATGTAACTTTGATCTGACACCATCTGCCATCCAGATTATACCATCAGAACATACGGCTATATACTGAATGTATGTAAGATCTGTTGTATATTCTTTGGATATTTCAAACTTAATCTTACTCTGTTGTTTTGGCTTCATTTCTACTTTGCCTTTATTGTAGTCTTCTTCTTCTATTAACTCGTGTCCATTATGAACTTTAGTGATGATACACTTTGGACAGATAAGTTTATTACAAGTATTACAGTAAAGACAACAAGCCTGTTCAGAGTGTTTTTCACACTTTACATCACTAAATGTGAATGTTTCATTTGACACTTCCTGTTTTCCTATTTTTTTTTATGTCCAGTATTTTATGATCCTTCGTGATCCTAAGATGGACATTGTCCTTACACCTGTCACACATTAAAAGGTTGCATTGGATACATTTCCAATGGATCTTATTTTTACTGTCACATAACTGACATCCTACTGGAATTTGACTTGTTTGTGTTGAACTTGCGAATGCCATTGCAAAATATAAAGATTGCTGACTTTTATACTTCCTCGTCTGCTTTCTCTCATTATCTGATTTTATAATAGAAAAACCAAGAATATGGGGTATCCATCCATGACACAAAATCAGTTCATTCACATCAAAAAATCATTTCCTTCATACTTCCTTTTCTACTTGACTTTTTAATAAAAATTTAGCAGCTATCTGAATCTCCTTTTTCATATCTACATTTAAGTGTTTTCACACTTTCCATATTATAAATCTTAGTGCTTAGACTTAATATAACTTCAGTTCTATTCTCCCCAAGTTTGATATGTTGTAACTTTGATCTGGGTTTTACATCATACCTGGAATCTGTCATCTGGAATCTGTCATGGTATTGATTAATTTTAGTCTAGTCTCACCTGTTGTAACAAGAATGTTATTAGTCCCCTATTGGCGCAGTCGAAGGGGACTTTAGGTTTGCACTCCATCCGTCTGTCTGTCTGTCCATCCGTCAGTCCGGCAAATCAGTTTTCCACACTTTTTTTCTTCATGCTTGAAGATATTGATTTGATATTTGGTGTATTGTTTTACCATGACAAGTAACAGATCAAGTTGGAATTTTGTTCCAGTCTGATGATTTTGTGCAGAGTTATGGTCCTTGGACTAAATTTAAATAATCAGTTTTCCACACTTTTTTTGTCATGCTTGAAGATATTGACTTGATATTTGTTATATAGTTTACACCATGACAAGTTATAGATCAAGTTAGCATTTTGTTCCAGTACAATGAATTTTTAACCGGTAGGGGACTATGTATTACCATGCAATACTCTCAGAATGCTTGTTTAAATGAGTTTTTGCCATTCCATAAATCTTAGTGTTTAAACTTGTTACAACTTCAGTTTTATCCTCCCTAAGTTTGACATGTTGTAGCTTTGATCTGGTACTATCCCCCATGATCTGGTACTATCCCCCATGATCTTGTACCATCCCCCATGATCTGGTACTATCCCCCATGATCTGGTACCATCTCCCATGATCTGGTACCATCCCCCATGATCTGGTACCATCCCCCATGATCTGGTACCATCTCCCATGATCTGGTACCATCCCCATGATCTGGTACTATCCCCCATCCACATAGAACCATCAGAACATACTGCTATATACTCAATATTAGTAAGGGCTGTTGTATATTCTTTGGATATTTCAAACTTTATCTTACTCTTGTTTTGGCATCAATTCTACATTACCTTTATTATGTATGGTCTTCTTCGTCAATAAATCATGGCCATAATGAACTTTATTACAAGTATTACAGTAAAGACAACAAGCCTGTTTAGAGTGTTTTTCACACTTGACATCACTGAATGTGATTGTGTCCTTTGAGCCTTCCTGTTTTCATTTATCTTTTATGTCATATATTCTATGATCCTTAGCAATCCACAGATGGACATTGTCCTTACACCTGTCACACATCAATACGTCAAACTCTATACATTTCCAATGAATCTTATTTCCACCTTCACATAACTGACATCCAACTGGAATTTGACATTTTTGGATTGATTTTGCAAACGTCATTTCCAAATTTTAAGATGTCTGCATGAATTTAATTTTATATTTTCTTTTCTACTTGAATTTATTTATAATGATTTAAGTACTTATTTGAATCTCCCTTTTTTACATAGGAGTCAATATTAAATTAAGAGCCCAATTTGGTACTTAATTAGAATAAAAATGTAAAATCAAATTACCGGTAATACTAGTCGTTTGTTGCTGTAAATCTTATTTGTGTTTCGTTTATTGTTTTGTACATATATCAGACTGTTAGTTTTTTCATTTGAATTGTTTTACATTTGTCATTTCAGGGCTTTTATAGCTTACTTTATATGCAGTATGAGTTTTGCTCATTGTTGAGGGCCTTATGATGACCTATAGTTGTTAACTTCTTCGTCATTTGGTCTCTGTTGGAGAGTTGTCTCAATTGGCAATCACACCACATCTTATTTTTATATGATCATATCTGAAGAAAAGATAACTATGTGAAATTATAGCAATAATTTGTACATGTATAACATATAAATAGCATGTAAAGATCTGCGAAAGCCTGGAATGTTTTTTTCTGTCCACATGTTACCGGCGAAAATTTTGTCATATTATTTGCATTCGGAAGTATATGTACGACATGGAGGTTTTATGACATTGTGGTTTTGTGATAATACAGGGACATGACTGACATTTTGTCTGTCGTCTGTCTCAGTAATTTCTTAATGTAACTCAAGTAACAGCAAACTGCATGAAATGGGAAATCATTCAAAATAATTCAAGTTTTATTCTTTGTGTGACAACCTTGACTGTTGAACTAAAGTTGATATGCATAAGTTTTCCAAACAAGAAGTCATGAAATAACAAATTTGCGTACATTTACATTGTGATCAGAAAAATTTGGACAGAATTATTAAGTTCGGACCAATATAGGACAGAAGATTTCATTTCAACTGAACCTGAGACAGATTTTTTTGGTCGGGTTTAACAGAAAGACGGACGATGGCTGGGTCAGTACCTGTTTCTGGTCACTATATGTAGGGTTGGCAGAGGGTTTTTGCTTATGACTTATTAATAGGTAATGGAATGTAAGTTCATCATATTATTCTGTCTGCACTGGAGGTGTCTGGCTTTACTTTGTCCCAACAAAGTTCCTGTCTGTCTCTTGTTTGTCCCAACACAGATCAGGTCTATCTACTGTTTGTCCAACACCAAAAGCTGAAATTTATTTGTGTGATAGGATTTTAGATTCAGAATATGCTACTACAATAAAGTTGAGAGGAAAATTTTCATTTTGGTGTCTTTTATCTATCTTTTCTCAGATAAAAAGGAAGTGATGAAGGTCTTAACTTTTTTAGAAATTAAGAATTTGTTTTGTTTATAAGGAGCACCAAAGTGGTCATCCTTCAGATAAATGTTTTGGAAAATTTCTTACATAGAATATACTCTAAATATTTGTATGGTGTTTTATATATATCACATATGGTTTAGTTTAAAAATCTGTGGTCAAGTACAGTTTACTTCAATGAGAAATCACAATGATTATCTAATAATCTGATAGATCCTGTAAACCAACTTATTTTGTTATTTTACTTTTTATTTCCACTTTTTTCATTTGCCCGTTTCAGGACAATTTATTTTCAACTTTGTTGTTTAAACTTGGTTAATTCATATAAGAGCGTTTATTGTATAAGTGACCATTTATATTGGTGGTATTTTTCTACTCTTGAAAATCTAGAAAATAAATAGCTCATGATTATAAGTTGGTTTACAGTATGTTAGAATTTGCTGTCTGCTTGAGACACTGTATAGTTTCAGCTGTAATTGTTGTTTTTCATTACTACAAAAGTTTAAAATTTTTGTATTTACCATCATTTATTGATGGATTGTTTATTTACTCTCTAACATTTATTTATTTCAGACGGAGGAAAATTGGAGATTTGGGATACAGCATCAGGGGAAAAGTTACATAGTGTACACCCTTACGAGGAATCTGTTACTGGTCTAAAGGTAGTCAATATTTTTATGGATTATCTCCCATTGACTGTATTTGTAGAAGCTAGATTTGTCAATTTCAATTTTTACTCAATGTTAAACAGCCCATGCTTGAAATAATAACTTTTTACCTGTAAGAACTTAACTTAAAGGCCAAGGATCCGGAAATTTTTCCACACAATTTCGGTCATTTTGAGATGATTGAAAAGTTGGTGCCCCTTTCCAAATTGTCGATGTCAACTTAACTAGATTCATAGCATCAACGAACTTGTATTGCTGTTTCATCGCATTTACTAAGTAAATGTCTTATCATTACCATGAAGAACAGTTAAGGAAAGGCAATAGTTTAAAATTGAAATGATTTTAATGACTCAAAATGGTAAATCTCTCAGACATTGCTTACGTTTCTTTCGATTTGACAAAAGTTAAAACCGGAAGTTTGCGATAAAGTTAAAGTACGAATAATTCCGGATTCATTTCCGGGATTTGTTTTGTTTATCAAATTGACAGGAAATCACCGGCTTTTTTTTATTTTATTACCTTTAAAAGTGTTTGAATGTAACAGACAATAGTTGCACTCATTTAATTTGGCATTACATTTGCATTTTACGATTAAATATTAAATTTGCTGAAGACAATTTCACGCATGCGTATTATATAGTAAATAAAGCACATGAAAAAAATACTTTTTTCACCGTAAATTTAGGTTTAATTTTTAAATCAGATTTGATGATTGTCTTTGCTGAAAAGTAATTAAATAAAGAATACACTTGTCAGGGAATTTCAATTTTTGTTAAGATATTATTCTGAGCTTGTGATTGCTGTCAGGTGTGAATATTAAAACCACAGGTAAAAAGTGATTAGCGATCATTAGCCAATGTTTCCCGGAGGCATTGATATAGATATTAGGAGGGCCCTCAGGATTATCAAACTACTGGAGTGGCAGTTTTATTACAGGAAAGGGATTATAAACAAAAACAAGTGATTACAACTTACACTTGTTGTAAGACAGTGCAAAATGGCGATTAAGGAATCTGATTTCAAACATTGAGTCAATGAAATGACCGAAATTACTTCTTTAAAAAAATAAAATTTGTCCTAAATCCCAATTTCTCGTTTAGGACAAATAGTTTCATCTTAGGACATGACTGGCATATATGACCGTTTCCGGACCCTTGTTAAAGGCTTTATATGTTGAATAAAAAAAACATTTTTTTTTCAAAAAGGAGTGTGACCTATATTCAAAATCATTTAAAGTATAGATACTGCATATAGATATTGTTGCACTTGTATCTTTGTGTTTTTGTTCTTTATTGAATTGATAGTATTGAATCAAGTTCTTATCCTTAAGTAGTTTATTTGCCAGCCAAGCTGGGTCTTTTTGATCACACCAGATTTTAATATGATGCAGAATTTTGCATTGAAGACATATTATAAAACTACTGGGCTGGTGATACCCTCAGGGAGGAAACCTCCACCAGCAGTGGCATCGACCCAGTGGTTGTAAATAAACTTATCATAGATACCAAGCTTAAAATTTTGTACACCAGACAGGCATTCTGTCTACAAAAGGAAAGGAGTTACAGCCATAAACTATGATTTTTGACTAATTTTTATGTCAGTCGTATACTTTTTAAAGATGTTCTCCTCTGATACTACTGAACCTTAGGGCACAAATGCTCACATTGTCAAGATCTACCTCCTTCCTATTTTACAAAAATTATCAAATGACTTCTTTAAAACAACATACATAGTAATTGCCCTTAAATGAAAATTTTGGGCTAATTTTCATGTTTTACCTTTTATCTCAAAATACTATACAGGTAGAAACTTAAAATTTCAAACATGATTATCAATACATAATCCACAAAAATGCAAATATGACTGACACCATGGAGTTATTGACTGTTAATGACAGTTTTTGACTTATTTTCTGTAAACAGCAAAAACTATTAGAAATGCAAGATCTACAAAAGTGAAGAAAAACATTTGGATGACTCCTTAAAGTGTCTTAAACCATGATTTTTGACCAGTTTTCATGTCTTGTCATATATTTTTTCAAAGACGTTCTATTTTATAACGATGGAAACAATTCGAACAAAACTTGGGGTGAATGATCCTTAGCTAATGTAATTTAAAGATTATGATTATTTTTTTTTTGGCCACTATGGCTAAAAGTAGAACATAAGAGTAAAAGGCATTAGATGTCTTGTATCTTGCAAACGATGATAGATAGAGAAAATATGACAGTGGCAAATATGCTCAAAATGTCAAGATCTATCTTCATCCAAATAATCTTGTCGCATTGTATCAGTTTATGTTTGGCAAAAACATTAGGTGAGTGATGCACTAAAATATACTAAGACATCTGCCATACTAAAATCCCATTACCCACTAAATCTATATCCACTGAATTTTAGTTCCAAATACTACTTATGTCTATGTACATATGCATAAATGATGTGTGTAAAGTTTTTGTTATATCTTAAGAGCAGTTTGTTATCAGTTGTTTTGCTGTTATATTTCAGGTTATCAATGGTACTATATTTAGTTGTTCTGCTGAAGGAGTTATTTCTGTACATAAACTTCAGGAGGATAAAATCATTTGTTATTTTGTGTCTGAAAATATAAGATCAGAAAACAATGGACATTTAACACAGAGATATATTCGTGGTTTTGATGTTAGAGATGGTTTGATATATTATGGGGATGATGGAACAAATGTAAAAGTGCTGGACTGGAGAAAAGGTAAACATTTTCGCAATAGTTTCAGTAGTAAGGTTTGGAAATTTTAGAAATCAACCGAAACCACTTTTATAAAAAAATTAGATGGTTCTGTGGCAGTATTTACCATTTACAATAAAACCTACAGCTCAGGGGCTCTTTTCACAAAAAATCTTATGACAAAAATTGATCGTAACATACTGAAATATCCATGACTTAAAATTATTTTTTCTCGTAAGTTATTTTGTGAAATTGATTGCAGGCCAGTAAAAATGTTGTCAGGCCTTAAAATTTTCCTGAAAAGAGGCCTCACAAGCCATATAAATTGAAAGAAATTTTATGACACTGATTTTTGGGCTTGTAAGTCAAAACGTTTTTCGTGAAGACCATAATGTTGATCATAATGTTACATTAATTATGGCTGCTTTGACCATCCATTTACCTGTCTTGTCTTTCTTTCCATCTTTACATTTGAAATTAACAATTTATGTACTATAATTTAGTTTCTTTTGAATTGGAATCTTTTAATGTAACAGCTTTCATATGTATGATGAAATAAAGGTTGTGTTTAGTTTTTAAATTTGTCACAATTACAGTTCCATATTTTATAACCCATGAATTATCTCAAAATGTTGAAAATGGACAAATGGTAACTTAAGTATACTATATTGAAGTACGTAGGACTTTATAATTTCGCAAAATTGCTAGCAACCATGATATTCAGGTATAGGTTCATTTTCACTGTGGACACACTTACAATTCTAAAGTTATGACCCTTAATTTATCTAAAAACTATTAAATTGAAAAATTTATATTTAGATATATATTTGTTAAGATTTTCTGTTGTTTTTTTTTCTTTTCTCTCTAAATTGTATTGTTTTATATTGGAATATATACAAGAAATACAATACAAGATGATGGTTTAACAAGCAGTTTTGTACATAATTAAATATGCAACGCACACATGACACAGTTTCATATTTCAAGTTATAAAAATTTATTTTGAGTTTCATGGTGATATTTTTACCATAATTCATGTTTTTTTTCATTTTTACCATAATTGACATCTTTTCGTTATAATTGGTAACTGGGTCAGCACTTCTTCTTAATAAATCTAAGTCATGTTATATTTGGACACAGAGAGACAAATCAGAAATTAAATTCATTCAAACAACAGTAAAATGGGAGATTTATGGTACTATGAACTTGTAGATAAGTTCATTGTAGGTTCTTGTTTTGCCTATGATTGAACACACTTCTGAAAAAAGAACACAATTTATGGCTCTAACTGTTGTTAAATTTCATCAGCAATCTATTTTTGTATCAATATCTAATCCTTTATGATAAATGATAAAAAAAAATGTATCAATCATATATAGAATATTTTACGTGGGTATTGACTTTCATAAAAAGTCTATCAGGTGTGACAGCTGAGGTGTGATAAGGTTAACTGATTTTTTATGTATGCAAGTCATCTGTTTTAAAATATATGTTGTTTTACGCCAGTAAACATATAACCTGACTGTACTTGTAAAAAAATGAAGGTCAGCCAGAAAAAATGAGATTGTTTTCAATAATAGAGAGATTTATTGATAAACACTTTTGATAAAATTAATGCAATTAAGTTTTAAACGATAGGTAGTTTTTATACGACCGCAAAAAAATTTTTGTGGTCGTATATTGGTATGACGTTGGCGTCGTCGTCGTCGTCGTCCGGCGTCGTCGTCGTCGTCGTCCGAATACACATTGGTTTTCGCACTCTAACTTTAGTTTAAGTGAATGGATCTTTTTGAAATTTTACCATAAGGTTAAATACCACAAAAGGAAGGTTGGGATTGATTTTGGGGGTTATGGTACCAACAGTTAAGGAATTAGGGGCCAAAAAGGGGCCAAAAATAAGCATTTTCTAGTTTCCAGACTATAACTGTTGAACAGTGTATGGATCTCTCTGAAATTATACTACAAGTTTCCATACCACAAAGGGATGGTTAGGATTTGCTTTGGGGGGTTATGGCTCAAACCGTTTAGGAATTAGGGGCAAAAAAGGGGGAAAAACAAGGTTGTCCTGGTTAATGGACAAATACTTTAGTACAAAACATAATTTAAAGCAGTGTAAGGGAGATAAATCAAATACATCATTGAAATTATCTCCCTTACACTGCTTTTAAATTATGTATAAAGTAATGGTTAATGAACAATAAAGATAATTTAAAACAGTGTAAGGGAGGTAATCCAAATACAACGTTTTGGTTACTTCCCTTACACTGCTTTTAAATTATGTTTAAAGAAATGCATATTTATAAAGGAAGACCAGTAAAAATATCTGCAAATGTTGCATCATTTTATTTTACAAAAAAATCTATATGAAAGATTTGACACTATATTTTTAATTCTATTATAAAATAGATTAAGTTAGCACTATGATAAAATTAAATGGGTAATTATGGTTGCCAACTCCATTGGAAATTTGAATTGAAATTATGACCATATCTTGAGGGAAAGAATTTTTTGGGGGAAAAAAGGGGGGGGGGGGGTAAAAAGAAATTGTGGGGGGTCAATTTTTTCTCATTTCAGATTTCAGAAATTAAAAAGAATTATTCTTCAAATATTATTTTTTTTTCAAATTTCAAATATTGAAAAATTTCAAGAAGTAATCTTTAATTGCACAGTATGGCGCATTAGATTTGTAAAATCTTTGATCACATTTATTTATTTGTTATGCCGAATCTAACAGTGTATTTAGATTTTTAATTTTGGGTCCAGTTTTCAAAATAGTCTACATTAAGGTCCAAAGGGTCCAAAATTAAACTTTGTTTGATTTTAGCAAAAATTGAATATATGAGGTTCTTTGATATGCTGAATCTAAACATGTATTTAGATTTTTTTTTTTTGGCCCAGTTTTCAAGTTGGTCCAAATTGGGGTCCAAAATTAAACTTTGTTTGATTTCAACAAAAATTGAATATATGGGGTTCTTTGATATGCTGAATCTAACCATGTATTTAGATTTTTTATTTGTGGACCCCGTTATCAAATTGGTTCATATTGAGGTCAAAAGGGTCCAAAATTAAACTTTGTTTGATTTCATCTAAAATTGAATTATTGGGGCTCTTTGATATTCCAAATCTAACCGTGTATTTAGATTTTTAATTTTGGGTCCTGTTTTTTAAATTGGTCTACATTAAGGTCCAAAGGGTCCAAAATTAAACTTAGTTTGATTTTAACAAAAATTGAATTCTTGGGGTTCTTTGATATGCTGAATCTAAACATGTGTTTAGATTTTTGATTATGGGCCCAGTTTTCAAGTTGGTCCAAGATAGGGTCCAGTATTTAAACTTTGTTTGATTTCAACAAAAATTGAATATATGGGGTTCTTTGATATGCTGAATCTAAACATGTATTTAGATTTTTGATTATGGGCCCAGTTTTCAAGTTGGTCCAAATTGGGGTCCAAAATTAAACTTTGTTTGATTTCAACAAAAATTGAATATATGAGGTTCTTTGATATGCTGAATCTAACCATGTATTTAGATTTTTTATTTGTAGGCCCCGCTATCAAATTTGTTCATATTGAGGTCAAAAGGGTCCAAAATTAAACTTTGTTTGATTTCATCAAAAATTGAATTATTGGGGTTCTTTGATATGCCAAATCTAACCGTGTTTTTAGATGTTTAATTTGGGTCCCGTTTTTTAAGTTGGTCTTCATTGAGGTCCAAAGGGTCCAAAATTAAACTTAGTTTGATTTTAACAAAAATTGAATTCTTGGGGTTCTTTGATATGCTGAATCTAAACATGTGTTTAGATTTTTGATTATGGGCCCAGTTTTCAAGTTGGTCCAAGTTGGGGTCCAAAATTAAAATTTTTTTGATTTCAACAAAAATTGAATATATGGGGTTCTTTGATATGCTGAATCTAACCATGAATTTAGATTTTTTATTTGTGGGCCCCGCTATCAAATTGGTTCATATTGAGGTCAAAAGGGTCCAAAATTAAACTTTGTTTGATTTCATCAAAAATTGAATTATTGGGGTTCTTTGATATTCCAAATCTAACCGTGTATTTAGATTTTTAATTTTAAGTCCTGTTTTTTAAATTGGTCTACATTAAGGTCTAAAGGGTCCAAAATTAAACTTAGTTTGATTTTAGCAAAAATTGATTTCTTGGGGTTCTTTGATATGCTGAATCTAAACATATGTTTAGATTTTTGATTATGGGCCCAGTTTTCAAGTTTGTCCAAGTTGGGGTCCAAAATTAAACTTTTTGTTTGATTTTAACAAAAATTGAATATATGGGGTTCTTTGATATGCTGAATCTAACCATGTATTTTGATTTTTGACATTGGACCATAATAGGTAAATTAAAAAAATTCAAGTTCTTAGACCACATTCTTTCTGTGTCAGAAACCCATGCTGTGTCAAATATTTAATAACCATCCAAATTCAGAGCTGTATCAAGCTTGAATGTTGTGTCCATACTTGCCCCAACTGTTCAGGGTTCGACCTCTGCGGTCGTATCAAGCTGCGCCCCAGCGAAGCATTTTATTATTATTTTAAATATGATTAATATGCATTTGATACATTTAATTTAAATTTTTATATTTTTGGTGACTATCAAAATGAAAAACTCAGTAAAACCAATTATGGTTCTAAGTGATCACAGTTTCAATGTATGATCACAAGAAAGCCTCACCTGCCAATTGTGGATTTATGAAGGATTTTCCCTGTGCAAGGTGGAAATCCTCCATTATTTAAACTAAATACCTAAAAACAGGCATTCCAAAGGGATTAAAATGGAATTCATTGAAAATCATAGTAGATATGATTATAGAAACTTATGACATTCCCCCATTGAGAAGTTGACACAAAATCAAATAAGTTATACTAGTTTTGTGAGTACTCAACTCCATGTTGCCTTGATCAGTATTATTCAGCATAAAAATTGAATTAGCAGAAACAATGACTTTACTATTGACTTAGTGTTGTGTCAATGAATACTGTATTATTCCCAACTAAGGTATATTTGTACT